AAAAATATCTCTGAGTTATGCATTGCTAAGACTGTGCCTGTCAGTCACATCTAAGATTGACATTAACAGATATCAAATTAGATGTGAACAATACAAGTGTTGTATTTTTAAACAATATCAAAAATATATACATGTATATAGATATTTTACCTTTACTCTTGACACTAAGCTTAGATGAGCTTTCTGCTCCATCAATACTTGCTCCTGCCTCACTGAAGGACTTGCCTGACTGGATTGCATCCAACTTATCCGTTAAGATCTCCACCTTTTGCTGCACTGTGTATTGGAGAGAAGGAATCACACAAAAAGGAATATTAGTAGCTTAGTACTGTGGGTATATTACTTGAGTGAAAGTACATGTATGATGTAAGTGTGAAAGCATACATATCTGGAGATGGCAAACATGTACATGTAAATGTTAAATTTGAAGGGGTGGGGATTGCTCCAAATATTCTTTTTCTGGGGGTACCCCGGGCCCAGGGAACAATGTTTATATTTTCATTTTGGGGTTGTGATTGAAATATTCAGGATTCATAAACCGGACCCATGTTAGTGTGAGAACTGCAACAACAAAAAATTGAGATTTTTAAAAGAATTGATGATTTAAAAAACATTCATAGAGACATAGACCACTTTACCAGCTAATTTTCTCAACATGTACATTCCCTAACTACTGTTTATAAATTTAAACTGTACTATCAAATGAAATAATGTCCAATGTTAATAATGAAACTCACTTTTATATCTCTACTTTTATAAAGAAAAATCATGGATCAGAAAGTGATAATTTCTAAATTAATAAATTTGACATTGAAAGTCAATCTCTAGTCCAGACTCAACTTCCCAAAACATTTAAAGGAGATTGCATGCTTACAAGTTACAACATGCATGTAACTGTTACTTTTGAGCCCTTACACTAAAAAAAACATCGCAAGTCAAAAATGTGCTTCGCTAAACTATAGTTTGCAAGAATCTTCAGTCAATTGAAGGAGGCAGACTTAAGAAGAAGAAGAAGAAGAAGAAGAAGAAGAAGAAGAAGAAGAAGAAGAAGAAGAAGAAGAAGAAGAAGAAGAAGAAGAAGAAGAAGAAGAAGAAGAAGAAGAAGAAGAAGAAGAAGAAGAAGAAGAAGAAGAAGAAGAAGAAGAAGAAGAAGAAGAAGAAGAAGAAGAAGAAGAAGAAGAAGAAGAAGAAGAAGAAGAAGAAGAAGAAGAAGAAGAAGAAGAAGAAGAAGAAGAAGAAGAAGAAGAAGAAGAAGAAGAAGAAGAAGAAGAAGAAGAAGAAGAAGAAGAAGAAGAAGAAGAAGAAGAAGAAGAAGAAGAAGAAGAAGAAGAAGAAGAAGAAGAAGAAGAAGAAGAAGAAGAAGAAGAAGAAGAAGAAGAAGAGAAGAAGAAGAAGAAGAAGAAGAAGAAGAAGAAGAAGAAGAAACTAGAGACGAGTGAAGAAGGTGGCAACTTACATCCAATATTTTCTTCATACATTCCTTCAAGCTCCCTCTCAATTTGTCTGAAGAGTTTCCAGATTTTAGAACGCATCTCTGGAGGTAGAATGCTCTCCTCTTCGGCCATTCTGGGAGTACGCATGTCTGCTTCTTGTAGCCTGCTGCTGCGTATTGATAAACGCTGCTTTGTTCCCTTCTTCAGATTCCCCTCCATCGGCATCGTTGCATAAATAATTATACGTTGGGGAAAGAGTTGCTCAGCTCGATTCTAAATGATAAATCCAAGATTCTGAAAGAAAAGTGAAAACAATGACAGTTGACCATCTTTCACGGACACATATTGAAAAGGGTCTGTAAGCTTAAATTCTCATACAAATATGAGACAGAAATAACAATCTGGTATTACAAATAGATCTATTCTTCTTCCAGTAGACCCTAGATCTAAAGTCCTGCTTCAAGTTCAAGGTGATGAAGATAAACACAGGAATTATGGCAGCAATTATTTTATACAAAAAAGACTTGGTTTATGTACTTAAAGCTTAAGTTAGAACTTTAGATCAGTATCAGTAGATCCATATTTACAAACAATTACATCGGGTCATACGTTAATTCATGTTTGTTAATGTGTTAATGCGCATAGCCATGATCTCTGGCAAGCCTATTAAACTCCAGTCCAGGAAGCCTGCGTCGAACGTCGACGCCGCATCTGTTGACTTGTGTCAAAACAACATAAAAACTCAGTGTTTAGGTCCTGCTTCGGCAATCCTATACTTTAGTGTGTTTTATTATTTTGGGTTTCTAACTTCAGTTAATAACAGCTCTTCGTGCATATCATAGGGTTAGGGTTAGGGTTAGGGTTAGGGTTAGGGTTAGGGTTAGGGTAGGGTTAGGGTTAGGGTAGGGTTAGGGTTAGGGTTAGGGTTAGGGTAGGGTTAGGGTAGGGTTAGGTTTAGGGTTAGGTTTAGGTATAGGGTTAGGTTTAGGGTTAGGGTTAGGTTTAGGGTTAAACTGAAGTTAGAAACCCAAAATAATAAAACACACTAAAGTATAGGATTGCCCCTGCTTCTAATTATTCTAGCTAGCCGAATTAAGACCACTAGATCTAGGCTAGTATCACTATGAACATGACACTGACAGACAATGAAAGCGGACAAAATATACAGTTCCTCAGGTAGACAAAGGAACATCCCTTCACTGCTATTATGTAAAAATGTGTAGAACAGGTGAATATGCATGTGACACCTGTTCTACACATTTTTACATAATAGCAGTGAAGGGATGTCCCTTTGTCTACCTGAGGAACTGTATATTTTGTCCGCTTTCATTGTCTGTCATGTTCATAGTGTATACTTATAGGAGCTGGAGTGGAGCTTAACCAGGATCAGGAGCGGGTCGCTGCACCATGTACGCTGGTCGTCGACGTCCGGCCGATCCAAAGCTGAAAGGCTAGCGGTCGTTCCGATCCGTACTATTTTGTTGATACATGTAGTGTTGATGATAAAGCTTTACCGTAGGCCTACCATAGAGATATATACTACTAAACACTTAAGTATATATCTCTATGAGGCCTACTCAACCCGCCTTCGTACAGCTAGCTACACTCACCGTACCGGTACAGAAACTACGCGGGCTCCGGACTCGTACTCCCATGGAGCATCAAATACACAGCGAGAATCCCAGTCTTTCCCAGACAGCTCGTCCTCGGATATCTCAGCCTCGCACTTATTCGATCAGCATGCAAAATCTAAATAAATTAGAATGCTAAATGCGAAATCATGTGACAGAGGAATCTCTGGGCGGAAGGTAGTGGGGGGGGGGGGGGGGGGCAGTGGAGGATCCAGGGGGGGGGGTTGGGTTCCATCCTGGGGAAAAACAGGTAAAAACATGTTAATGTTACCGTTATTTGGAGACGGTGCTCAAGGGGGGGGGGGGGTGCGATTTTTAAATTTTCAAGGAAAAACACAAATTAGTGCTCCCTACCCCCCCCCCCCACCCCCGCTTATTTACCGGCTGGCTGAGTTGACGCTAAATATTTCCAGAAAAAATTGGCGGAAGGTAGTGGGGGGGGGGGCAGTGGCGGATCCAGGGGGTTGGGCTCCAACCCTGGGGAAAAAACCGGTAAAAACATGTTAATGTTACCATTATTTGGAGACGGTGCTCAAGAGGGAGGGGGGGGGGGGCGATTTTTAAATTTTCGAGGGAAACAAAATTAGTGCTCCCCCCGAAAAAGTACCTCTTACCTCTTAACTTTTTTTGTAGCCTTTGTAATACTTTATGGGATATATGGATACATTTATACATTATGACAAATGCAAGAAAAATGCGTTATATACCTAACTTCTAATGAATTATATTAAATATTGATGAATGGTGACTCATTCATATCCCCCCTGAATGATCGACGCGTGCCCCTTTTCCTTTCTAATAAGTACCATATTTCCTTCGGATAAGTGCCCCTTTTCCTTTTACATGAGCCCCTCCCCCTTTTCAAAATGCCCATTTTAACATCTGATAAATGCCCCTATCAAAATCTGATTGGTGCCTTCTCCTCCAAATTTCCATTCTCACGATTACCACTTTTCATTTCTGTTGAGTGTGGGTCCCTTTTCAGGTGCACCTCTGAAGGCTCTGATAATTGACCTTTTTACTTTGACACGAGCACCTTTTCTTTTCTAATAACTTTCTTTTCCCCTTTTGATAAGTGCCTACTTTTGCTTTCTCCATAACATGCATCCCTAATTCAAGGCGACTTAGAGCCCCCTTTTCTTTAATTTTTCCTAGAGCTCGCTCGCATTTATAGATGTTATATTTATGTTACTTATAAAGATTGTGCTTTATACTCATCATTTTTTTTGGGGGGGGGGGGGTGTCTTCTTTATAAGATTTCATTTTTGCACTGGGACCTCACAAATCTTTAAATTTTTGCTCGCTCTCTCGAATATTAATATTCAGACCATCACACCTAACTGCAAAATATGTAGCTTAACTAAGCAGTATCGTGTACTACGTAAAAAAAGAAACAAATTTAATATTGAAATCATCCCTGGTAGTGTAAAATAAAGGTCACCTTACCACCCCCCCCCCCCCCACAACGGAACGAAATTTTGATCGGTCAAATGTTCAAATTTTCGGGGAAATTTTTTTTTTTTTAAGTGTGCTCTTACCCCCCCCCCCCCTCTCCCGCTTATTCAGCAGCTGACTGAGTCGTTGCGAAATTTTTCATCAAATCCTGGACAACAACAAAATGTGCTCTTACCCACCCCAACCCCAACCCCCCACCCCCGAACAGGCGTTGATGAGTATTACCATAGAAGCAGAAGTAGAAATATAGAGAAACGTTGAGGTGATTCAGATTTCTCTGACAAGAAAAAAAAAGGTTATGACCCATGTTTTATTTTTTATTGGGGGAGGCACATTTAACGACCCTACTCCTAGAGTTTGATGCCCATGCCCATTTAATTCCTAAGAAAGAAATCTTGATCTCGATCCAAATAAACACGAGGAGGCGATAATGAGTACCCCTCCCCTAGCTCCCTAACGCTCGGTCTTGACACCATGCACATTGCATGCTCAATTCTGTTAGGCCGAGTTGTTTGGGTACCTAGTTGGCATATCGTGTAAGTGACGTTGGCTGAGCTGGAACGCCAAATTAATTTTCCTCCGTTTCAATTTGCATTGCCCGTGATTACGGTATTTATACAGACTTTCTTTCTTTAAAAAATTGTTTAATTTGTTTATACATTGTATACGTTTTATCAGTTGGAATTTCTTATAATATCTCTCTACCGTCGCGTTCTTATTAACGTTAGAGTTATGTTTAATTTTCTGGAATGTAAAGTCTAAGGATGTCTGTATTGTAGGCGTAGTGTAGACGTGGATCTAGATCTAGTGCTAATGTTGTGTGTGTATGACTGTGTACGTTGTGTGTGTATATGCGTGTCCAATTTCGAGTGTATTGTGTAATGGACAGTAGATTTAGGTCTAGTCTCTAGATTTAATTAAATGAATAGAATGATATCAGTGACTTTTAGTGACATGATTAAATAATACTTATTAATAGTAAAGCTCTGTTGAGTTTTGTTTGCCACCACTTCTTATGCCATGACGATCATGATGGCATGAATGTGAACACGAAAAGAGCGAGAAAACTTGTATGATACGGAAGTTTTACTTTTAACAGGATCGGCTCTCGGCTCAGTCTCACTTCCGTACACTGCACTGATGCTGATGACTGGTGTGAATGTGATGATGGGGGTAGTGACTGCACTGTCACTGTGTCTCACTGTGCGAATGAATTGACAATCGTGATATTGTTGTTTACCGTGGTTGGGTTTTTTTTCTTTTATTTCTGCAATGTAATGCATGAGATGTCACTGTTCCATAACCTAATTATTTGATGAATTGCATTGTTTTTATTGTTTTTGTTATTCATGGAACAATGACATGTTTTGTCTTATTTAAAGCACTGGCAAACAAGGGCACAATCTTCATCTATCCCTTACCATTCCTATCTCTTCAATAAAGCAAACGGTTACAAACCACTTATGATAATACATTTTCTCAAGAGTGTTCACCCACAATTTTCCAGTCTTCTTCAGTATGCGATTATCTGACCATCCTGAATTTGGAAGAGCATGGCAGGCAGTGACAGTCAGACAGGGTACTGCCAGTAGTTGAAGATTTCCATATTCTGAGTTTCCCAAAAGTGACATAAGTACCAGGGAAACTAACTAGAGTACTAGACCTGTGATAAAGAATTACACTGTACTTGTGATGATATTTTCAAATGGAATTTTAGATTTGAGGTTGTTTGTGTATCATCTATGAGCTAATGAGCTTAGGACCTATCTTCAATTTAATGACTAACAAGATAACTAAGTACTTCTCCAAGAACAATGTCAATAGCACTTTTGACAATATATCAATTGTCCAGGGATAACTTGGGTGTACCGTACAGCCTATGAAATGTTATTATTTCTTTAGCAAATAGGCCCTTTTGAAATGTAAATGTTCTAATTTACAAATTTTTGTTCTTTTTTTAATTTTTCCAGGATAAACGGATCAAGAGGAATTCAAGTCAAGACAGTTGAAATCAACTTCCACAATGAGTAACGTGCAGCCACCCCCAAAAATAGTGCTCAAAAGCACGACCAAACTTACTCTAAATGATCGGTGAGGAGAGAAAGACTTGCTGAAGAAAGCAAGCAATTGTTCAGAAATGCCACTCCTGTATACAAGATATACAGAGATGAAGAATGATAGAAGTGGTTAAGAAACAGAAATGATGGAAGAAATGCATTGCTCCAAGAAGGAGCTAGATAATTGATGCAATTTATATTTACCTATAGGCCTGCAAATATTGAAAATTTGAAACAAATTGAAATGGAGGTAAAGAGAAAGGATGAAGAGTTTAAAAACTCATAATTTAGAATTGAAATTAAGGCCTGATATAGGTAAAAGTTTCTTCACCACTGAATGATTATGGCTGCCATTAAACCAATGTTCACACCTCTTGTTTAATGTTTTCGATAATGCTAAACCTTGATTTCTTGAAGAAAGAAAACTAAAAAGACTTGTCTATGAGGATTGGTTGTGAGACACGTCCACAACAATTCCATTTGGATTCAATGTGACACATTTCTGAACTTTCAAATACTAGTAGAATGGGAGGTGTATATCAGAACAAGGCAGTTCTGTGAATCTTTCTATCATTCTGTGGGCTTTTGTAGCTCATAATATTGTTGATTCATGGCAGCAAAACTGACCGATGAAAATCACAATATCCTTTTTAATATTAATTAAAAAGAAAAGGTGGCATCTCTTCTCTGAACAAGTGAGATACATGTATGAAGTAAACTTGTATGTTGAAGAGTGGCAAATGATTTGGACAAGTGTTTTGAATACATGTCAGTGTTACTGTACGATGTGATTCATATCGCTTGGAGTTCCATACATGTGCATGTCATTGAATTCCTTGTGCAAAGTCAATTATACTCAAGCCCTGCACACTAAACATGAAGTGATTATTAAATACATACCAGTTAAACTGGTGATGTGATTCATTATCACTTGTATGTGTGCAAAATTATTTTGATGAATACACAGAAAATTAAGTGTTATCAACTTCTGTCTCTGCCCACCAATTTACCATGGCAAATTAAATCTTGAGTATGTACCAGTGAAACTCGGGAGTTGAATTAGTAACAAGAGTGCAAATCTCTTAACAATTCAGACTTAAATCAAATATGATGAATGGATTATGCAAACCTCTTTTCTTCATCAAATAAGCATGAGGGCCAGTGAGATGTTGAATACATACCATATCTATGAGGATTGGTTGTGAGACACGTCCACAACAATTCCATTTGGATTCAATGTGACACATTTCTGAACTTTCAAATACTAGTAGAATGGGAGGTGTATATCAGAACAAGGCAGTTCTGTGAATCTTTCTATCATTCTGTGGGCTTTTGTAGCTCATAATATTGTTGATTCATGGCAGCAAAACTGACCGATGAAAATCACAATATCCTTTTTAATATTAATTAAAAAGAAAAGGTGGCATCTCTTCTCTGAACAAGTGAGATACATGTATGAAGTAAACTTGTATGTTGAAGAGTGGCAAATGATTTGGACAAGTGTTTTGAATACATGTCAGTGTTACTGTACGATGTGATTCATATCGCTTGGAGTTCCATACATGTGCATGTCATTGAATTCCTTGTGCAAAGTCAATTATACTCAAGCCCTGCACACTAAACATGAAGTGATTATTAAATACATACCAGTTAAACTGGTGATGTGATTCATTATCACTTGTATGTGTGCAAAATTATTTTGATGAATACACAGAAAATTAAGTGTTATCAACTTCTGTCTCTGCCCACCAATTTACCATGGCAAATTAAATCTTGAGTATGTACCAGTGAAACTCGGGAGTTGAATTAGTAACAAGAGTGCAAATCTCTTAACAATTCAGACTTAAATCAAATATGATGAATGGATTATGCAAACCTCTTTTCTTCATCAAATAAGCATGAGGGCCAGTGAGATGTTGAATACATACCAGTGACACTGTGTGATGTGATTCATGCTCAATCGAACATGCAAAATTCTCATGCAGAAGTCAAATACGATCAATTGATAGATCTACAAAGCCCTCCAATATTAAAAAAATGAGAGCAAATGAGCTGTGATTCAATACATACCAGAGAAACTGGTGATGTATTTCTTTTCTATTACTAACTTTGCAAAAGTAAAGTAATGTAAACCTCTTCACATGACCTTTGAAAAGAAACAAAGTGATATTTGACAACATACCAGTAAAACTGGTGATATTGTTCATAATTTAGGCAAATCTCTATAAATCATGCAATATTGAAGTGCCATCAACCTCTTCATATCTTACAACATCACATACTCCCAAGAACAAATTGATGTTGGGATACATACCAGTAAAACTGGTGATGTCTTTCTCTTTTACCAACACTTACTCAACACTAAAGCAATGGAAACCTCTGCATATGTCCTTGAATGAGAATTGAAATGAAATATTACTACATACCAGTAAAACTGTGTTTTCCAATATCACACATGGATATTCTAAATTGATATGGAATACATACCAGTGAATCTGGTGATGTAATAGATATTGTCATAATTAAGAGAGGAGTTCCAGTGCTCCAATGACATCTTGGGCTCTGAGATTCTAGTTGTAATGTGCATCTTGACATACTGTTTCCCTGATGGGCTGTTTAGTTTATTGCTTTTTTTTAATGATGAAAGAAATAATATAATTACAAGGAAAAATTGTGGTGCTAAGAAAGCTCATTGGGAACAAAAGAGAGAAAATGACAAAAGCAGAGGTTTGTGAAATTAAAAAAGATGAAAACACATTGCGCAAGATGAGGCATTAGATCAATATTGCATGATGGATATTGAATGCCTAGAACATAGGCTTGACTTGCACAAGTGAAGAAATTGATAAATACTGACAAATGCACATGAGTTGGTTCACACATGTGGTGATACATGTGATGATCTGGCCATCACACTCAATTTCCACCTCCCCCCTTCATCCGAATCGACACCTTCGACGATACGGGACACAGGTTTACCAAGATGATCAAGGCAGCGCCGGTATCTCCAACAGCAAGGAAAGCTGGTGCAAGGCAAGATACTCAAGTTTCTCAGGCCAATCGTCGACTTGCCCAGCAGATGCAGAATAGACCCTCTGTTAGGGCAGCATTAGGCATGCAGGCACCTCAGCAGAATCAGCCTCGGCCTCAGGTATGCTGGCAACCTCAGCACTTTTATACTTGGTCAGATTTGTTTCATGCACAGAGATAAGAATATACTTCAAAAGGCTTTATTTTGTTTGGTTGATTTTTGTTGTTGATGGCAATAGTGACAGAAGCAATCTGCTTTTTGGGAACTAAAAAATACCACTAACTGATTACCTACTACATTCTGAGTGGTCAAAAGGCATTAGTGTTAGCATTCAAGTTTGCTATGGGTTCTTGTTCCTGGAGAAGATGGTTTAAATGAAAAGATTGTTGCTTGAATCTTTGCTTCTACATATTATCCATTTCAATATGTGGCAAGGCAAAGAAACTAAAATGACTTGTGTAGCAATTTGGGTTCCATCTGCTACATCTCAATTATTACAACATATCTAAATGTTGTGTTTTTGTATGAAATAATACCGCCAGGATTTTTTTCTTTTCTTCAAACAGATATAAAACAAAAACACAAATTGTTGGGACCTACCAAATAATTGGTAACAGAATCTGATAAATGATGCTATCACTGTTCGCACAGGTCAAAAGATTTCACCCAAAATCATAAATTTATAATTTTCCCTACACCTTTATTTGGATACCTACAGCATCAGCAGCAGCAGCAGCAACAGATGCCAAAGCAGAGTGTACAAGCCAGACTGGGTGCTGCCACCCAAGGACAGAGCATACAGCAACGCCTGGGCAACATGCGGGGAAGGGGCGCTGGTATGAGAGGGAGGGGGGCTATGAGGGGGAGGGGGGCTGGAAGGGGTGGTATGATGCAAAGAAATAATGCACAGGTGGGTATGGAAAACATGGGTGGTATGGGTATGCCCAGAGGGAGGGGTAGAGGAAGGGGCATGATGATGAGCAGGGGAGGTATGATGGGGCCAAGGCAAGGGCTTAGGAGACCCATGGGACGAGGGATGATGGCTAAGCAAGGACAGAGGGGCATGAGGGGGGGTAGATACATGGTCCGGGGGCGAGGAGGGGCGATGGCAGCAGCGGGTGGACGAGGCGGAGGGATGGCTCGTGGAGCAGGCAGAGGGATGACGAGAGGAGGTATGCAGAGAGGGGGAATGCAGAGAGGAGGGATGACAAGAGGAGGCATGGCGAGAGGGGGAATGACCAGAGGTATATACATATATTTTTTAAAAATATTTTTAAAATAAATATTTGATTGTTTATTAAATTTTCAATCATATAAAAGTTACATATTTACAAGTCATTGAGGTTTTTTTCTTACTCGGTGCTGTAGCTTGTGGAATCAGAAACTTATTTGACAATGTTTTCTATTTTCCAGGATATTGCACTGTTTTAATAAATACATTTTTAAAATCAATACACCCCTTGACGATAAAGGCCGCCATTTTAATTTGCGAGTAAACATTGCATCATCAATGTTTTCAGACGTGCATGGATTGTAGCGTCACTACCTGCGCTTCGTGTCACACCATTTCGACACGTGTGCTTAGCATGCTGCATAAAATAAAAGTTACTTGCAATTTAAAATGGCGCCAATGTCAACGCATGCGCAAAAGCGTAAAAGGGTGTATTGAAATAAATGTACTATTAGATACAAATGAATGTAATATAGTGAACCAAATACGACTCTATCAGTTGCTTTGTAAATGCAATCTCTCTAAAGTATGATATTAACATGATTTTGTTAGCAGGTTCAAATACATGTATAAATAATGTTAAAGGATAAATCAAATGCTTACAGATAAACATTGATTTGTCACCAACAACAGGGGATGATACATGCAATTCAAGGACATTATGTAAACAGTAAAATGTACCGGTAACCACTGATTATATACTGTTCACAGTTGATAATCACAGAAAATATTCTTACCATGATCCTGATGTTTTATTGGCTGAATCATAGCAACTAAGATTTTTCCCCATACATGTATCCAGTATTGCCTTTGATGGGCCAAAGTGCAGTAACCTTAGTGCTTTTTAGTTGACTATTTCTCTCTCTCTCTCTCTCTCTCTCTCTCTTGTAGGAGCCATGAGACAGCAGCGAGGACGAGGAGCCATGACAGGAAGAGGCGCCGCGGCAGGAAGAGGTCGCCAGGCACGAGGGCGTGGCATGAGGGCACGTGGTGGTGGTAGGGGAGCCCAGAGGGGGCGTGGTGCTGGTGCCCCTAACCCCACGATGACCAGAGAACAGCTGGACAATCAACTGGACGCTTACATGTCGAAGACCAAAAACAGTCTGGATGCTGAGCTAGATGCATACATGGCTGACTCCTAGGGCCTGCTGCATTGTTTTGTTTTTGCTTTGAAATATGTACTCTTTTTCTAAGTCACTAGATGTCAAGGGGCATAGAAGATCTTCAAGAAATCCTGTATATAGTTCTTTTTATATGCACTGATTTAGGGAAGAAGAAATCAATATTCTGTTACCTGTTGTGGGATTATGTAACATTCAGGATTTTTAGAAATATATGTACGATTCGATTGGGAGTAAAAATATGATTTGTTTTTAAAAGAAGAGACCCTATTTCACTTTCCCTTTGGAGAATTGCAGATTTACAATATTAAATGAAAGTCTCTTTATTATTATATACTCTGTTCCCAAAGCCTTCAGCTCTGTATGTAGATTGTATCTTTTTAATACAGGGCCCTTGGACAGGCCAAGGAAAAAGAATCATTTTCAAACTGAAAACAGATACTAGGCTTGAACTGTACACATTTTATTGATACATGTATTTTTTAAAGAAAAATAGTTTTTACTTCTCGATTATCAACATTAAAGAGGACAACAAAATAATAATTAGATACTTTAACTGGTCATCAGTTTATAGTGCCCAAGAAAGTGATGCCTGTTTGTCAACTAAGTCCACTCAAATGAGTTAAGAACAAGTTTGCTAAGTCTTGTTGAATTCTGGTGCATTTTGAAGATGCAATTACATATACTAAACAGAGTTTTTGTTTTAAGAGCCACTGCATTGGTACAAGAAAGAAGTTGCAAGTATTCTTTTTACATATGTCCTATCCATCTCTTCTTTTTTTAGCAAAAAAAGGCGAACTATCTCACCACAATCTTCCACAGCATCTTGTATTGAAATTGTAATGTTGTATCTACTCAATAGAAGTTTTGCTGAAAATGTTTGAAACTGCCATATGAAAGGTTGAAATCATGTACATCATGTAATGCGCATTCATTTGCTATTGTATTTGTAGACAATATAAAATCTCTACATAAGGCCCAACCTCATTTTGGTCCGCAGTTTATGTTAATTGCTTTAAGTTTTGTGAGATGAATGAATGCATACCAGTAACTGTACATATAACTTCAATCCCAATCTCACCACGTATGGCAAATATTTCCCTGATTTGTCTGTAATATAACATTTAATCATCTAATTACACTACAAGATTGATATGTTTAGAAAGTGTTATGAAGCGATCTCAAGCATGTGAACGAATTATAGAATAAAAAGAGACCTTGAAATGGTAAGCTACAGTAAAACCAGGAAAACAAACATATTTTTCTTGTATTCTAAGACTACACGGTTGCAGATAAATTCTGGATCTTTTAGAGTTTAGGCTACCATAATAGCCTTTGTTAATCATTGCAGCTGGTAAATAAGAATATTGTCAACATGAATGCAGTATTCTATTTGAGTTCATTCATTTCCAAACACAAAATAAAACACTATATCATGTTGACATGTGCAGGGCATTTTTGATAATCGTTTTAAACGAACTTACAATCAATTAATGTACAACATGACTTGGATCACAAAGAACTAACGGTTACGTCAAATTTTTCCATAATGTACGAGCAATTGCATAATTTGATTTTTTTTTTAAATTACCAAACACCTGAACAAAACAAATCAAGAATTACCTACATAAGTCAAAATTTTATAAATGCTCTAAGGCGAACCTGTTCCATAATTAGAGGAAGAAGGGTAACAAAAATCAGGGAAATGAATCGTAGGGGGCTATGTTAGTAGTGTATCCTATATTTTGAAATGACATGACAGTGTTGGGACCTCCACCCCCAAGCTTAAGATATTCCCTTGCCTTATAAATTGTGAAATGTATGTTAATTTAAAATTCCACATCATCCAATTGTTTTGTATTCCAGGTACTTGTCTTATAAAGAGTTCCAATTTGGATAAATCACAAGTGCTGTAATCAATCACAACTTTGCAGTCTTCTATCTCTAATGTACATCGTTCAGTTGAAATCAACTCTTTATAAGACGGGGCCCCCAGGACTGTGTATATGTTATCATTTTCTTTGTATTTATTTATGAACTTATACATGTCCTTTTTACATTGTTTAGATTGAAAAGAATTATGGTGTTGCTTGTTGTGTGAGTTCATGATTATACCATAGTGCTTCTTTCAGGCATTCATTCAGAAATATGTAGCAAAAAGATTTCATAGTACATGGTGTAGACAACCAGCGCACATTTTTTTAACAGTTGGATGTAACCATTTTTACATTTGTTTTGAACCTCCATTATCAGACTTTTTGATGCATTTGTATAATGGCATACTAGGACAAGTATATGCAGAGGCGTTGCTGAACGTGCCAAGTGAATATCTGATCAAATTTGGGGGGGGGGGGGGGTGTGAATGGGGAAGATTTTGTTAATAAGATTATATAAGCTTGCTGACATTAGTTACAGTTTGACCACTTGCAAGTCGTAAGATTCAAAATCTTGCGGACATATGCAACACCTCTGCATATACTTGTTCATTTGCATACTTATCAAAGTGTGATGTACATTGTGCTTTGTGTTTTGATAATAAAATGCTATTCAATAATACACTTCTTTGTAAGTTCATTTGGAGTCATTTGCATGTCAGATTCATTTAATAGACTATAATATCATGAACTTAGTACTTTTCATACAGGAATTTTAAAACTAATATTTTTAGGCAATCCTGTGAAATGTGTCCCACACAAGATGTATTTTATCCATAAATAATTTTTTTGAAAATGAAAAACCTCTTGTCGCCATCAATGACTATAGGTACTGTGCTGATACCATAACTTGTAAAAAAAAAAAAAAACATCAGTCAAAGTTCATATCACAAGAGTTGTCATTATTGGATGGAGAAAAAAATGGATAGATGACCTATGTCAAACAAGACACATCTCACAGTATTGCCCGTTTGTTGTAATGTTAGATGCTATTTTCTTCAGTTTCAAAAACAACAAATAAAGATTAGATATACATGTACTTATATGAAATATTGGGTTTCAATTCAATTCTTGCTTTTTCATAAATAGCTAAAGTAAAACAACCAGGGCCCAGCATGATATTGTAGAATCAATGCCAAGGAATCTATGAGTGTTTTGTATTGCACTTGAGACTTTTTAGATAACATGACGAAATGAGAATAGTTTTTTTATTGGAAACATTTGAACTTTACAATGTAGAAATCTGAGCTAAATTTATTTTTGCTAAGTTATTATAAATCGGCATTAACACCCCTCCCTCCTTCATCTATAAAGAAATAATAGAAACTTGTTTTTCATGCATAATACATTAGAGACATATTGAAGAAACTAATGTATACCTAATTAGGAAAATATGTTGTTGCACCAAAAGTAAGGCCATGAAACATTGTACATGTCATCAATAGGCCATTTTCGTAATGTAACCAAATTTAATGCATTTTTTGTGAAGTGCCTCAATACAAGTTATTTCATTCACCTGATAAGAATAATAGTATTTCAATAGTCAGAATGCAAACTGCATATATTAAGTATTGCTAGTTAGGTCAAGCCATAATGTTTGTCCAACCTGGCAACAACTAATGTATGCAGTTCGGATTCTGCCTTTTGAAATACTATTATTCTTTTCAGGTGAATGAAATAATATGTATTGAGGCACTTCACAAAGACTGATGCATTAAATTTGGTTACATTACGAAAATGGCCTATTCAAATGCACACTGAAATTACTTTGCAGCTTATATACCACATCATCTTCTGCTTACCAGTGTCATTGATAATTCAAAGTGTTTTCTTATAGTTTTGTTATATTATTCAATGTAAATGTGTCTACAGGGTCATATATTAAATACATATATTTGTATGCCAGTACAGTGGAACCTCGTTATATCGGGGTAAACAAAATATATACATATAAAAAGCTCTTTATATCGAAGCTCTTTATAATGAGGTTCCTTTATATTTCTATACTCGCATATCTGAAAAAGACAAAAATCAAAGCAAAAGTAGTAATCCTTTTGGGAAGTAACATAAACTTGGTCTGTAAATAAATCTACACTCTTAAACTTAAAAATTGTAAAGTACAGATTGATACTCACTTCAGGCAATAAAAACACATATTTTTACTCCCAATAATTATTAAAGAACATACATGTATATACATATTCAAATTTCAATTTATTGGTCCAAAAGGAAATTGGTTGTGTTTACATGCATTATTCACAGAGAAAAATAAATTTACATGTGACATGATACATACAACATAAAACCAGTATATAGAGATAATAAACATAAAGAACGTTAACATTCACATTATATAGATAGTTTCTCTAAATTTACAAATATTCCATGTTTGTTCATATATCCAGAGTAATTACCAACACAATATAACATTGTAATTATTACTATTATTACTATTTTTGTTTTATTATTATTAGTTTGACTCTATCATTATAATACAACATTGTTATTAGGCAAACAATAAACCACAAACAGTTTAACAATCAAAAGAATTTATCATAATTATTTTCAGTATGGTGGAAAAATCATATATCCTAGTACCGGTAAGTACAAATAATGTTCACATCTTCTGGGGGAATGCAATACCCTATTCTGATAAATCCACAACAATCATTGTCCCTATAAATGAGACCCGTATAAATGCAGTATGTATGCAATATCAATACTTATTGAAGGCAATATGAAATAATCATTAATGAAATGAAAGATAGTATGACATGTGAGTAGAAATACAAGAGACTTTTTAATTTCATAAGAAAAGATGGCTATTGTAAGAAATTAAATATATTTGTCCTAGAATAAATGCAAATAAGTTTTTGATCATTTCCTACAATCAAATAGAAAAGAATATAATACAAAAAGCACTGAAGAGAAATCTTTCATTTCATAGAACATTTAATGTCCAAATATGGAGAGATGAAATATATTGATCACCTAGAAATATTTACAATTTAGTTTACATTTAATTTTGGCTTCGACTCATTTGCGACAATATTATTGACCACATTGTGTGGTTTGTCGTGTTTCCATGAAAACTAAGACGTCTGTTGACCTCAGAGTTCGTCAACCCTTGCATGATCTATAAGTTTCAACAACAGTTGAAATAGAAACCAGAAGATTTAGGAAAGCCTAGATAAAAGGATAAGAAAGTTCTAAACTTTTAGAGCATCACATAGCCTACTGTTTTATGCGTTAAGAAAGTTTAAAAACCAATAAAATAGGTTTAGTGCGCCCGAATTTCTTTATAGTTTGGAATACAAGTACAACTATACTCTACAAAGAGGACTGTACTCGATGGAAGAAGAAGAAAAATATAATTATAGGCGCGTATTTTTTCAGGAGAGAGCTTCAGAGGAGAGCGTAACGTAGTTTTGTCATCACTTCAGAGATACCATACTGTTATGGATTTTGTGAATCGAAGCCACTGCTGACGTAGTAAATCTTTGACTTGACGGAAGTGAGTACGGTACGTGCCAGAATAACATCATCGCCAATTCGGTAATCTTCATCTTTATCGTAAATACTATTTGATCATTTTTTCATAATATGGTATGCAGCATTCATGGATTCTATAACCGTAAAACACGCACCTAATATGACGGATTTACGCGTCTAAATCGTGATAATTGATTCCGTAATCTGCTGATCACAGCGTAATGCTGCGATGTGTGCGACTGCAGGGATACAATCCCATTGGTCGTTGGCGGCCAAGCCCCCGTACCCGCCTCCGCCCCAAACCCGACCGGTTTGTTTACATACAAGTCCTATGTAGGTCGGTTGCATCATGTTTTGCTGTATGTTGTGAATCAGTATAGACGACTCATTTTGATTTACATCTACATAGACTAGTTTGTGATATGGAAACACTGCACTGATAGTGGTATTATTTTCTGCAGGATAATTGGGAGTATTTTGCGCTTGATTCGTATGGACAAATTCGACATTTATAGACTATATACAAATATGTATATGCATGTTCACGCGTATACTTAACCTGTGAAGGAAAATGTGTTTCCAAATTTGCTAGTTCAGTTTGGGTGTCTATATATGATTAAATTGAATGTGTTATGCATACATTTGACCCATTTGTTCCCCTCTTGTGCATTAAATGCAACATACTAGAGGCAGGTAGATAGAGGACAGTAAGTTAATTGTTATGCTTGTGAAGATAATGCAATATTGATGCAAAAAAGAGTTGAAAAGAAGTGGTGTGTCTGTTGTCTTCAATAGGGTACATGTAGATACTTATTTTTTGTTGTTGTTTTTTCTTCTTATACCGGTAGTCTTCTTTTTGATTTACAGATTATTTAGCAAGTTCTTATATGAGGATCTTTTTCGGTACATCTCAACCGCCATTATCAGAGGAAGAGGAAACTGACTGAAACAATGATGAACAACAACAATCATTTAGTCAACCTGAATCCACATCTGAAGAAATATGATGAAGACACTCTGTTTCATATTGGATTCTCATCAGCACAGGATAATCTACCAGAGATGTTTGGTGATGTCAAGGTAATTAGAGCTGAATAATGTCAAAGATTTGTCATCCTGTAGACTAAGTATGGTAGTACAGGTAGACCTGTTTGAATAAACCATTTTTGTAATTTAATCAAATTTGATGCACAAATCTTTGCTAAGTGCCTCGTTACAAAATATCTTATTCACCTGTTACGAATAAGTATTTCAATAGTGAGAATGCGAATTGCATACATTAAATATTGCTAAACATTATGGCTTTTCCTACGTACCTAACAACAGTCTATATAGACAAAGGACGTTAGTGCTGGGCTGGGATTTGAATTCACCCTGTACCTTGTGATTCATAATCTGGTGCCTTATCCGCTAGACCACAACACCTCTACAGGGTATTGATGTGTAATACATAATTATGAAAATTCCAACAATTATTATTTAATCTTTTTCATTCCTGTCCAGTTTGTATGTATGGGAGGCACTGCTGGTAGGATGAGGAAGTACTCTGAAGCCTTTTCCCGTGAGCTGGAGGTAGAATGGACAGATTACACAAAAGGCGAGAGATATGGTATCTTTAAAGCTGGCCCTATCCTCTGTATAAGTGTAAGTTTATGAAGCTATTTCTATTCCTACGTCATTTTTTAGTCCATTTCTACTAAAGACATGTTGTATTTGAATTTGTGTGTGTGGGAGGGGGGTGTGCATGAGCATGTATGTTTTGTGTGTTTGTAAAATTGTAAGGCCTAAACAAACAAAAAATGTATTGCCCTTTGCGACCGATGCATGAATCTTAAAAATCTACAGTCAGCTTTTTATTTGTTTCAGGAAAAAAATGTTAATGACTTTAATTGTATTAAATCATTTAAAACTGAGAAATATCTGCCCAAAGAGGGGAAAAAACAACAATAAAAACAAAAAGCACCTAAAGGGCAATACAACATCTTTTTTGTTAGGCCTGATCAACCAGGCTTCTAAATAAGATGTAGGGGCATCCTATACATAATGTAGATTAGACATGTCAGTGCATGGTTAAAAAATATAAAATTGTGGGTCACCTCTAAGAGTTTCATTATGCCAAGCAGACAAGCGGTTCAGTATTGTTGTTCCCATTGGGTAATGCTTACATTAAAAAAAATCACATCCAATCCATATAATAGTATACAGTCATTTTACACAGCCTCTTCCTCGGTTTACACACAATTACATATCAATTCATCTTTTTTTTTTTCTCTATAGCATGGAATAGGAAAGCCTTCAGCATCAATTGTCCTCCATGAAGTCATCAAGTTAGTGAATTATGCTGGCTGCCAAGACGTAGTCTTTATACGCATGGGGACATGTGGAGGAATCAACTGCGAAGCAGGAACTGTCGTTGTCACTAATAAAGCTCTAGATGAAATGCTTAAACCTGAATATAACTTGGTAAGATAATAAATCAATGGAAAATACGAAATTTGGTTCAATTATATAGTAAAGTTTACGGATATTTACATGTTAGGAGTGTTCACTGCTTTGTGAATAGAACAGCTGCATTTTTCACTTCCTGAGGTTGTTTTCCATCTCACAAATACAAATCTATCAGTGATGATTTTATATATCACCAGCCATCGCAACTATTACAAAAAGGGAAATGGCAACAAAAAATTGTAAAGTGAAACTATTTTAGTATTGATTTCCTGTGTTGCAGCCCAGAGCACTGACTAAGTCGTCAAGATTCAACGAATAACAATTGAAGAAAAGAATGCACATTACAGTGTACATTGCTCATCATCCATGATGAAGCATATAGTTGAAAGACGTGCTCTCCTCTCATTCTCATAACTTGATGAGGACTGTACTTAATTTGTGTGTTGAGGTTTTTCAGTTATTGTTTCAGTCATTTGTTCAGGTTTTCAGTCATAATTTAACCATTCTTTTGGCTGTACTATACCGGGGGTGTTTCATAAAGCTGTTCTTTAAGTTACGCATGAATTTACAAACGACTTGTATATGAAGTGCCAGATAGGATGCCCAAAGTTTTTTCTGATATTTTCAATAACCTCAATTAAATTATGGCAAAAAATATACTTTGCATTAAACATGTTTGTTATCATAAGAATGTTAATCTACATCTGCACAGTTCGACTTTAGTTGATGTATTTAATAATGATTGAGCATCCTATTTGGCTTTTCATATACAAGCTGTTCGTAAAGTCATGCGTAACTTTACGAACAGCTTTATGAAACACCCCCCGGGTCTCTGTGTGAAATCAAAAGTACTCCATAAAATATCCTTTTAATCAAGTAGAATGATTGATTTGCACAATATCATCACACAAAAAAATGAAATAAGATGCTATATTATTTCTGCTTTAGCATGTTTTAGGTAAGCTGATCACCCGCCCCACCCAGCTGAGCCAAGAATTAGCAGAGGATATTATATCATGTAAGCCATCCAGCAATAACTTTGACATTATCAGAGGGAATACATTGTGTACATCTGATTTCTTTGAAGGTGAGTAAGGTAGTTCGGGTGCACTTGTAAATTGTAAAGCTAGACCTGAACCCAGGTCTGAGACAATAAATGCAGGAAAACAAGAACTTACAGAGATGCTTCCATGGAAATTTGTCATATACATATGAATTGATGAATAAGTATAAGCGATATGTTAGATTTTTTACATAGGTTAAACAAATTTTCTAGGATTGTTTGCTTACAATACTCAGATGTACTGTTATCCGCAGCCTTATGCGGAACTTATAAATCGTACCCCCACCCTCCAATATTATGCTCGAATTCAAAATAGACAAATATCAAAAGAAGTATATACATGTATCTTAAAAACCAAGAGATCTTTTTTTCTATTTTTGTTAATTTTTTTAATACCCTATTCCATTACTTGTTCATTACTGGCTTTTTTGTTGTGTTGTACTGTGAAATCAAGTTGTAAGGTGATAAGCAGTCACTGGTTTGAATGTAATTCATTGTGAAGTTTGTTCTTTTGCAGGTCAAGCACGTCTAGACGGAGCATTCTGCCACTATGAAGAGGAAGATAAGATGGAATACTTGAAGAAAGTCAGAGATGCTGGAGTAAGAAACATTGAAATGGAGTCAGCGGTGGTTGCTGGTCTGTGTAATGCTGCACAAATTAAAGGTATTGTATAATGATATTAAAAACAACTATGGTCCTCTTTTTAATCTGTTGGTTATTGAGCTGTGTAAGCTAGTTCACTTCTTGACTTATTTGCTGCCTCTTTTGGGCATTCACAGTCCTTGTTTTTGTTAGCAGCCTCATAAAAGAATCACCTTACGATGAAATGATGCTCCTATTTTTTTTTATTTTGTTGACAAATATCAGAAATGATAATTAATGTTATCATTTAAGTTGCTTGGTGGTAAGGAATTGTGTTTATGAGTTGAACAAGAAATGTGACAATAGTGTGTAGGCATTTCCTAATGACTTGTCTGCACATCTATAAAATGAGACAAACACATTGAAAGTAAAATGAAGAATAATCCTTCAGCATGCTCTTTTAACATATTCCTGCTTTCCATTGCCATGAGACTCTATTTTTTTCCTTCTAAAATCCAATTTTTAAGAATGTTTTAAGGGGAATATGGGAAATCATTATCAAACTGTATAATTCACGCCTTGTCCTGCTTCCTACTTCAGCTGCTGTGGTTTGCGTAACTCTGTTGGACCGCCTGAAGACAGACCAGATAACACTCACGCACGATCAGCTTTCAAAGTACGAGAAACGACCGATGGATGTTATTCTTGCTTATGTCAGTAAGAAATTAGGAAAGGGCAGAAAATTATAATCACAAATATCTATTATAAGATTTTTGTAAATAAAGGGACATAGGGATAGAGCTTTGCTGTTAGGATTTTACTCAGCTTGTAGAAAGATTTAGTTTATCTTCTGCTGACTAGTAATTACATAGAGGAAATATTTTTGTAATATGCGCTTGTCGTATATGAATAGTGGTTTAGTTTGTGGAATAAGAACATCAGCATTATTGTATTCTCTGGTTAAAAGACCTTGTGCATTGTTGTATTTGAATACATATTTATAAGACGTTTTCTAGCATCAGGTAAAAACCTGTCATAGTTGTATTCTACAATGTGCTGCTAATTGATAGCTCGATTTTTATCACATTCTTATGTGCCAATTTTTGTAAAAATTAGTATGTATTGTCATAATCAATTCCACACAAAAATAAGATTCTGATGTCATAGATTTGCTGTAGATGTTTTTTACTGTAAAAAATATACACCTAATATATTGGCCAAAGAAATATTGATCAGGTATTCACTTTATAAAGAAATGCAGCTTCCGCACTAAATGGCTTATCCTCATGAGATAACTTTACATCATTCCAAGTCATCTTCCTTATCATCATTGACACATGCAGAGTTTGTATTGTTATATGATACAGCTGATTTGTGTTTTCTTTTAAACAGTGCCATATATTTCCTATCACAATATACATGTGCATGCGGTATGTGTAGATTGTGCTTCATTCTTCAAAATCGTTATTGCATATATTACCTTTTCCTTCAGTTCCTTTTCCATAAAAACATTTATCATTAATATAAGCTTCAGAGCTTAAAATTATACAAATATTTCATGCTCGGACCGTTCAGCATAACAAAATATATGAACCAACAAATTCAGAATTTCCCTTGTGCATGTATATTTTACCAACCAAAATTAAAGGCTGAGGTAAAATGAGAAGAGACATTCCAAATTTTGAGGATGATATATACGCTCAAATAAGATGAATTTAGGGTACCAGTATTTACCTCTGCATGTCATTCTTCCGCTCAACTACTTCATGGATAAAACAGCATTCAACAATAGGTATAGAGTATACTCTTTTTTTTTTAATTGGTGCTGTTATTCAAGGAACATTGCATGTCAGTACAATATAACATAATAAAGTTAATGTCATGCAACTACAGTACATAGATACTCACTTATGAGTACCCAGTATCATATGTATTAGTCACTCATAATGTCATTTGATGATAAAGTGGTCAATAGTGGACAATTAGGAAGTGCCTATCACTCTACATACCATGTTGACATTTATCACGGCGATAAATAAAAGAAATTTATCAGAAGATGACAACAAAAATATTTTGAAAGACATGCAAAAGGAAGCACAATTTTTTTTTCTTCCAAAAATTGTGAAACTTGACTGAAATAGAAATAAAAAAATTGATATTACATTCACCAAAATGAACAGAACTTTTTTGGTGATTCATTTTAAAATGCCAGTGTATCTAATTCTCTAATTACTACTTTAATTTTATGTTTAGTTACTGTCATTGATTACAACCAAGTCAGTAGCGAGAATGACATCTCAAAGCTCTTTGTATTCAGTTGAAAATGCTCTATATGAATTGAGATTCTTTATTATTAATTCCCCTTATTGCTTAGTAGACAATGCATGAGTTAAGCGTACGTTTATTCTTTATTTTTGTTGATATCTATTATATAGAATTTACTGAAATATTTATACAAATGTATTGAAATAGACAACATGCAAATTCATTCCATTTAATTTATACCTATTAAAAATTTGATTTCAAAGTGTTCTCAATTCCAGAGTGACAGCTGCATGTAATTATTTTGTGTGACGTCATCTAATACCAACATGTATCTAATCAAGCTATTTTGATCTTCCTAGCTTCCATGGTATTAGCTGCCTGTGCTATGTAACTGTATAAACCATGAAAATATTGATATGGGTATTTCCACTTCAAACCAGTGTGCATTGTGTCCAGTATGTGTTCTTAACTGATGTGCTCCAAGCCTAGGCTTCAAGCATTATTTTTCCAATAAGCAGCTATCATGAAGTCTTAAATTTGTTTTTGTTTCATTATTTTCAGTGTGCAGTAGTTTTGAGTTGATATTTTATATAGAAATTTTGATAATGAATTTCTCTGTTATCGTTCATTTTATTGATACTTTTGACATACTTTGGTATTAGTAGTTACTTTTCATTTGTATTATATGCTTACAGTGATTATTCCTTTTATATTTCAATTCTCATTAATCTGAGTTGATTAAGTTAGAATATTTTAAGTGACCCTTGTTTTGATAAGTGTAAAAAGCTATCATTTCAATATATTATTGAATGATCTATTATGTATATATCATATTGAATTATGAAGACAATCTGAAACCTTTTCTGCTGAAATTCTATATTTGTTTCATTCCGTGTTATGTAATGCTGGAGAGACTTGGTTAGTCATTCAATTCTTCAGGTGTAATTTTAAGTTAATTATATTTTTTATACCCATATCCTTAAGCAGAATTCCATACTTAGCCTCTTCTTGTGAAAACAATGTATAGAGTTAGGCTGATATAACCTTACTGCACAATTCTTCAAATTATTATTTGAAGAGGACCTCACTTTTTGTACCATATATAAAGCTTGCAACTTCAACTGGAAACAATGTATGGAAGTATTTGTTGATGTGACATTGAGGTTTTGTTGTTAAGTATGCATACAACTAGATTTTGTTTATGTACCTGTACATCCCATCTGCAGTTTGTTCTACATCATTTTCAACTTAACTGTATAGAGGTGTGGTGGCTCAGTGGTATAGCTAGAGCAGTGGTCTTTTGGCCAAAGGGTCCTGGGTTCAAACCAAGTCGTTGAGCGAGAGGCCTCTGTAAAGGCATATAATCCTCCATTTATACCAAGTCCCTTGGATAGGAAGTAATACTGTAGTTCCACTGGTTGTTTATATACATCTTATCAGCATATATTTGCTTTCTCAGTATTCAGGTAAAAAAAATAGATTATAGATTATAATCATTATAATCTTCCTTCTTTCTCAGGTTATTAGATGTCACTCTGTCTCTTCTGTTATAGATTTGTATTCCCAATCAGTTTTTATTATACATAGTGTCTTGATTTATTGGCGGTAGGGGAGGGAAAAAAAGTATAAACTATTTAAATTTTAGTTATCGTATTCAGACATTGATCTGCAACTTCCATTCGTTTCAGGAAGTTTTAATTTGAGAGAGCACTGTAGCATGTTATTTTGACATTCCTGAGTTTGTAACTGATTCAGTCATTCTTGCATTGCTTGTCTCAAATCTACCATATTTACTCCTAGATATAAACGTTTGCTGTAACATATTTATTTTGTGACGTATTGTACCTGTGAATTAGTATATTTATACACATAATCATGGAGTGCCAATGCTGTTTTAATCTCTGAGTTTAAGAAGTTATAATATTGAGATAAAGAGATGTTATTGCTAACATGATGGTAAAATAAAGTGTTTTATGCTTTTTGTTTGAGAATATCCCATTAAAACCCTAAGCTTGATGCTATGATTTCATTTTTTCAATAAAGCATATTTATTTCGTTTGAAAAAGGGATTGTAAGAATAGTGCATATAACATGTAGCGTTCCGTGACTGTTCATTGAAGTAATCATCAGGGTTTCGTTTTATAAACATATGCCATAACAGTAAGTATCATAACTATGACATCATTATGTAGTTACAACTCGTGACACTAAAAGTGGCTGTTGCCGTGTATACGTAAAAGTTGTGCAAAACACGCCGCTCCATGCCGTAGTATTGTGTTTCAAAATCAACAAGTAAATGGTTAGAGCATTCTCGCTTCGTTATCTCTCATTTGAATTCAACTCACCTTTTCATATTTCACCCCTTGTTTAACTCACTCTCTAATCGCAAACGTCGTGTTTCTTCTTATCAAACGTGTCTATCCTATCTCAAGTGTATCTCACTCTATTTATCATGTGATACTTCTCATCCATCATCTCTGTTTCTCTCTTATTTTTATCTCAGTACTTCAAATATTCTCTTTCCGTACCTCTCTTCTTTGAATACATCTCACTTTATCTTGCTCCTTTTACATTTACTTCCCAAAAACCCCTGTATTTCTCTGATTCAATGTACACATAATATACATATCTATATACATATATATTTATTTATTTATGTATATACATGTATATATATTTAAAATAATAATAATAATAATTGGATTTATATAGCGCCTTTTCCAAAGGTATTTTTCTCTTTCATTTTTGTTTCTCCTTTTATGTTCTCACCCATTTCCATTTTATTTTGTGTATTCTCACTTGTTACATAATCATCTATTTATCTTATCCCATACAATTCCCACCAATCTATATCCTTTTTGACACTTATTTATACTCCCTATGAATTAATTTTGACATAAATAGCACACACCGGTAACTCTCAACCATTAATTTCTCGACCATACATAGTATAATTTATTACACTCTTTATAATTACTGTGATCAGCATGTACTCTCCGACACCGCAGTTTTATGTTTATATTGCTATAACTTTATTTGTTATTTTATGAAACGATATACTTTTTACATAATGAATACATTGAACAGATTTAACCAAGAAAATATATTATTATTATTACAAGTAACATTTAAATATTTATTTACTTATTCACAATTCATTCAGTGAAAGAAATAAAAGCAAAGCGACATGAAATTGCCTGACATTATACATCCTCATAAAGAATTAAAGAATTAAAGAATTAATAAAAGACAATATAACTCTAAAACAGTTTCCTTCAAACCGTTTGTTCTATCATCACAATACATAATAAAGTACTTGAAAGTTGTATACTAATACTATCTCGATATGTCAATGGACCTGCCATTCGTTAGTTACACCAAGTTTACCAAATATATTTACTTTTTAATTCGCCCTCTTTTACACAAGTCGAAAATAAAAATAAAAAATAAAAAAATAAAACCAAAATAAAAAAGTAAAGTATAAAACTCCTCCAGGACTATAGTAAATATATCATTGTGATATAACCGCAATATTCACTCAATCATGACTAAAGTTAAGGGCTTGTTTTCACAGACATGCAAAGGATAAATTTTTTTCAAAGTGACCTGTCATACACGGAAATGCTACGTAGAGAATATATACCTTAGTTCATTAGTAATGTACTCTTAATATCCATATCGATATTGTGAATAGGTAGGCAAGATAAAGCTTAATAGTCTTAGAATAAACCTTTGGAATCGTAGCATTAAAAATCTAATCTCCAAAAGAGACCTTGATATGTCTTAATATGCGACGTCCCATATCTATCAAACGAGAAACAAGACGTAATAGCATTAGTTTCTTATTGAAGACCATCTCACAGACCATTCATTTCAAATAAAGTACATTATTTTACATATGACACGAACAAAACGTCTGGTAGGCCATATCAACCCGGTTACTGTCTGCCAACATACCATTTACATTATATATTTTCAACTTGATGTTTAAAGGTATCTATACCATTTCCGTGTTTTCAAAAGAAATTGAAATATATTTTTATTAAGTTGAACAAAATAGATAGTTTATTTTATTTGTTGAGGCACGTCCAACTTAGATATTAGAATCTTGTTTTCATTGTACATTTCTTTGTCGAATGTATGTATTCATCGGTTTGTACATTTGCTTAAATATACTGTTTTATGCTTTGAGAACAAAGGAATAAAGACTTTATTTGAACAAAAAAAACATATACTTGAGGAATGTCAAGTAAATAAAAGCACAGTTCATAAGCATCTCGTACATGAAAGCTAAATGATAATCGTTATGAACAATACATACTTCCAATGAACAATATGGACTATATTTTTCTCTATCGGTACTGATACTGTGATCACACTTCCTAAGTGGTACAATTCGCCTTTCTCCATCTATTTATTAACTTTTGTTAACAGAACAAACGGAGACCTTTCTGAATTATTATAGAGAAAATAAAAAGAGGCATAATAATTATTGTTCCATAAACATTGTCATTATGTAACCTGTATAACTTAATTTTTATGAGACATTTTCGCCTAATGATATCACTGTTATACTGATAACATATGTCCGTTTTAAATGACTAGTTCCATTAAAACAAGAAAAACAAATGGCAGAAATAAATTCAAAATTAATTTGACTATAATAGGCGCAATTACACGTGCAGCTAAATATGCGACTTAAACGTAGGAAGAAAATAGAGAAGAGAGTTCCAAAATTCAAATCCTTATTGTCTACATGAATTTCTCACTATTCCTATCATGAGCTAACAATTAAAAATGAAACATTGTATTTATGGTAATCGATTTTTGTTTGTCTGAGGTGTGTAATTTGAAAGTTGAGACTGATGACAAAGATTAGATTTGCGTCAACATGTAATCAGTTTTGTGTCCAAATGAAGCTTAACGTATACAATTTCATATAGCCTCAAAGGTGGTACATGTATTTTGTGCTGAAACTAAAGAAAGAATCGAACAAGAGAACCCTATGCGTGTAATGCTAATAAAGCAAACTTAATAAAAGAATTAAGGAACGAACACATTGCTATCAAGACGAGCTCATTTTCAATATTTCTCCTCAAGTGTATTGACACTTGATGACGTACCGGTATCAAATAATTCAATATAGATTTGTCAAAATAATACAAGTTTGTATGATATTTTTTCAAGGCCTTGTCTCTATGCTCTCTCGAATATTCTGTGCCACAGAAGCAAAAGTATAGTAACAAACGTTGATCTTTTCCGTTCATGAAAGTGAGACCCAACTAATAATAATAAGGCCACTATAAAGAATATTTTGTTTCAAATCGCGAATGTGTACTTATCTTAGATTCATCAGTCCCACATGAAATATAAAACCCGGTATACAGAACAGGTGAGAAACTATCTCGTCCACTTTCTGACCTATATTAATAACAACGACGTGGTGACGCTCTCTGACGTCGGGCTAGAATGTCGTCGTCGTCATCGTCGTCATAATCGTCTCTAGAGGGTCTTCTTTCTATCTTTGTCTTCCTTGCTCTTTGAATCAGCTCGGATTGCTTGAATCCATTTCGTTCTTGAATCTCGTAATTGTCCCAGCCATGTTTGCTAAAAGGTATAATACAGATAATCGAAATTAGAATGAAGGTTTTAGGATGCACATAGCTGACTTACGATGAAATTAAAAGATCAGCGTTCAACTTGTCATATATCCAGAGCACCAAAACGAGAAACATAAACATTTGAAACTTTGCAAGATCCTGAACAAGTTATTGGTGGTATGTTCATGGACATGGTGGTCAGTGAATATGAATTTATCTACAAATTATCTACAAATTATCTAGAAGCACTTTGATATTCTTGTAAAATTCATAATGAGAAGGTTGTGGTACTATAGAAAAAATATACTCCTCGTGTGGGTGTTTGTATGTATGTGCGTCTGTGAGCGTGTATGTGCGTGAGTTTCTATCTTAGATTCACATACATAGCGCCTGCATACATTTTCTTCTTTTCCTCTTTTTTTCAAACACTGAATTATCACCTAGTATTTTGATGTGTGATGTGTTTCCATAATACACAGCGACAGAAAATAACTAACAAATCTATCTAACTTCTGTCAGTTTTAAAATAGATAATTTTATAATAAATCGGCCTACCTGATGTGTCTCCGATGAGCTTGAGAATGCATAGAGAGTATGAACTTGTCCGTATCTATTCAGCTGTACCAGTACAAAGCAATGCTTGATTCCGTTTGCTGTAAAAATGAATCGAGTCACAATGAAATTAACATTCAACAATTATCATTTTAAAGGAATAGTGTTCACATCAAAAAAGAGATTTTAACTGTTTCTGTGCAGTTATCAACTCATTGTTTATTAAAGCTTCATAGCTACCTAAAATTTTGTGCAGCACTTCCCCCATTTAGTCGTAGATCGTGAATCAATAAGACTTTTGATATGAGATGGTCTGGGTGGTGGCACATCTTAATGATAACGATAATAAAGTGGTGGTGGTAATGATGATGATAACAATTATTGTAATGATAATTGATGTTACAGACGACGTCAATAATGGTGATGATGGTTATAGTTATGCCTAGGGCAGCGATATGGGGAACGGGTGGAAACGTTTGCACTTTGCAGAGCAACCATGGAAAAGTTTGCTAGTGCTCTAAAATACAGGGTTTCAAGGTTCGCTAATGTTCTCACTTTGTCGCAACGCTTCCTCACATATTAATAGAAGCATTATTTTTTGCCGGCTCCCGTAATGCCTGCCTGGTGTAAATTAAAAATAATAATAAACCACTTTGGCCAGTACTAAAAGAATCTCTGACATAATTTTTTGTCGCGCTGCCCCCCCCCCCCCCACTCCCATTCCACCACTGCAATTTCGCTTCACCATTATGTTACGCGTGTTTTGCGCAAATACAACGTAACAATAAAGCCATGCGTAGACAGGGTATACGCGAAGGCATTGTTTCGTCATGGTCATGTGATCGAATGCCTCGTAGCTGATTGGTTGAAAGTTCAGCCGCGTCACGTCTTTTCCCCTTGGATACCACGCTCATGCCAAGATCATAACCACAACAAACCGTTCACTTTCTGATTTATCGTACAGTGGAGAACACGTAGTATATCTTCCTCCGAGTTTCCGAAAGCGAATTTGAAGCAATCATTGCTAAAAATTCTGTACTCTCTTGAACTTTACCAACTATACTCCGCTTAATAGATCTTTAAGGTGAGTTTAAGAATAAGATATTTAAAAATAACAAGAAACATCAAATGTAAAATCATTACCCCAGACCCAGTATAGTGCAAGTGTATACACTCACACGCATTAACATGGAACTTTTCTTGTAGGCCTATTTGGAAAAATAATATGTTTCTGCCACATGACCTAAAATATGTTTTATAGCTCAAGCTTTAATAATTATGAAAGAGGTAATAACACCATTGCCAGATATTTTTTTTGTTATATTACACTATTTGATTCATATTGTTTTCTCATCGTGGTCTTCAGAGATGCAGACGTAGATATATAAATATAATGATTCAGATTTAAAGTATAACTTGATTATGCGAGGTAGAATAGTTTTGAAGTATGGTATTTAGAAAATTCATTAGATTTTTATTTAAAATCTTCAACAACAGCATGATGATTATCACGACTCCAAAAGACATTGAAATGTCAGGTCAGAGACACCGCCGAGCAAGACGTATGAACGGTCGCCGTCAACGACTTGCACTTGGATCGGTAGTCGACCACGGAGCTGAAATCAACGTGGCTCTCGACATGGCCCAACTTTTTCCGTCCAGCAGTACTCCTCTTCAAGCTGATCAAAGCTTGGACATGTCAGCTCAGAGGGAGAGACGGGCACAGCGAACACAAGACGTCAGCGTCTTAACATGGGACCAGCGTCTGATCACGCGGTAGAAATTGCACAAGTTATTCATGACTTTTCTACCGCGTGTTCAACAGACGAAGCAGCCCTCGAAGTGGGCAGCGATAAAGTTGTCAAAGACAACAAGGCTAACTCTCTTGCCTACCTCAAAGCGCGTTTCGGACTCATGCCACACAAACTGGCAACGAAAATGAGGAAGTGGTTCGCCAGACGAACCTAATTGTATTAAATAAACTTATTTGTACATAATATCTTTATTACAAAATACCAACCAGAAACCAAATACGGAAGAAATAATGGGAATCAGGAGCCTCGCTGATAAATCATGAATACGATTTTTTTTTGGAGGGGGGGGGGGGGTGTGGATTTGGGCCAAATTCACCTACAACTTAGCCAACTTTATTCACCATGCAATTTTTTTTCCTTTCTTTTTACAGGCAGGCTAATTGGACGAGCATCTTCTGATCACGCAGAAGAATTTCATCCATGTTTTTTGCAAGGTTCAGCCCTCGAGATATCCGTCCGGGAGGGGGGGGGGGGGGGGCTGGCGACAGACTTGAATTTGCTCATATCGAGGCAATGTTCACCCCCTGTTCACCAAAGACAACAAAGCTACTCCTCTTGCAATAATTATAACGAAACCTAGTTTTAGACTCGTGCCGTATAAATATTGAATATTGAAAAAGGGAATATTTCGACAGAAAACGAAACAACATTTTTACATGAACAAACAAATTCCTTCTGCACATCTCATTTATATTCTATGAAACGAACAAAACTAATATGTAAATAAAACCAAAACTTCTTACTTTTGTATAGAATAATCATGGATTTGGAGACTTTTCTTTTTGTTTGTCGTTTACGAGATTATGCAAGTCAAATTTTGATGACGCCGATGGTGATATGTTTTGTTTAAATCATGTTATGATTATGATACTAATGACAGAAGCCCAGCCCCCCACTCGGTGTTATTTAGGGTACGCATATTATATGCGTGTTCCCTCCTTTTTGAAACACTCCCTAAGTCCGGTGTGTAAAGTCAATTTTGTGTACTGTATGTACGAGCCGGACTTTGGTGCGTGAAAACAAAAGTATACCCCTTTACCGGACATTTTGGTAACACGCATGCGGTCATTCCGACCCCGGAGTGGGAGGGGGGGGGGGCGGGGACAGAAGGTGGTGATGATTATGATGATGATGATGATGATGATGATGCTTATAATGATTACGATGATGATGGTGAAAAGTTGTAAAGTTTTTTTTCCATCATGCATTTATATCGTTTTATTGTCTTATAAACAAATTTACGTGCACCAAAACACTTCCCCAAAACGTAACATCTAGAAGAATTATTTACCCAAGGCCTGCTTGGCATCGATGTCCACAAGTTCCAGGCGATCTAGAGGAAGGGGTGCTTTACATACAACAAAACTATATCCATCCTTGTGTTTGGGAACATAGCTCTGAGTCTGTCCATAGGGCAAAGAGTTGTCTGTAACGGATTTCTTCTTGTTACCTGAAGTACGACGCATTCGTGTTATCAGCATCATGTCATCGAATAAAAAGACATACACTTCTTGTAGTCTCCCGTTCTCTGTCAGACAAAGAAAAGAAAAGAAATTCTTAGCTGGATGCCATTCTTATAAAAAACTGTTTAACTTTTAGACTTAGTGGTCCCCTCCCCCTCCCCCTCCCCCCTCCAGAATGTTCACCGCGACTGTGTTCGCAGAATTAATTTTTAATCACAAATTTACATAACCTCGTCATAATTTTAGCCAGCAGTCTTACATATCAATCTAAAAGAATAAGAAACGTATAAAAACAACTGTACTTATTCGCTTGGAATAAGCATGATTTTCAGAAGCATTCAATGAACTCACCGAAGATTTGAACATGTCCTTCATATGTCAATGATCGTTTGGAACTAAACAAGACGTGTTCTCTTGATTTCTTGGCGATGGTGGATTTCAAGAACTAAGGATAAGGGAAAGATTAAATCATACAAACTCGTTAAAACAAACATGTAAACTAAAAAAAGTATGAGTATCTGGGGAGGCATGATGGTTCAGGAATATGGCAGTCACGTCAATCTCATACCCGGAAAATCCCAGATTGAAAGACGATTCGCTTTTTCTAATTTTCTAAGTAATTAGTCCTCATAAGCAAGTCTATCGGATATGACTTAAAACTAAACGTCCCCAGGTTACTAACCTAAAAGCATATTACTTGCTTGCTTATAAGTCAGACAGAATAAGTCATATATTCAATCAATCAATCAAGCCATCAGTTAAATACAATTTTTTTTTTCTTATATACTTATTTACACATGCCTGGGTATATAAAAACATATTCTTAGCATCTTTTAAGACAGTTTGACATTGAATCCAGTAACAACTTTGTGGAGAAATACATTTTTGAAGGGATTGCATTTTTAAAGGGATTGAATTTTAATATCCAGGAGGCGGGTAAAAAAAGCGCTTCATAATACTTTAGCCCATGATAATAATGAGCTGAATACGCCTATAATACTTACGTAGAAATACGATTATTATGTTGCAAAAATACAGCCGAAAGTTTGCTTACCTCAGGAACGAGACCAGATAATTTGGAGTCGAGTTCTTCCATTGGAGGCCAGCTGATCATCTGCTGTAGTTCTCTCATTCGTTCAAAGTTTGCCAACCATTCTACCTTGCCTTCAAGATCAACTGATGGGGAAAATAGAAGTTGTAGAAAGGAATAATTCAGAAAGAGTTTTTGTTTTTACAAGTACTATGAAGAAATACATTTTCAATATAACTTGGCCATTAATTCCTTTTCATTGCACAGAACCTTGCAGTGACATTCATTAATGTGAAAAGTTTGCATGATAATATTTACACCCTTCTTTTGGCGTGATTGACGAATATTAAATGTATAAAACGCTTTGAAAATTCTTGGGTTTTGTTTTTGAAACATTCTTCACTATCTAATAAAGCTCATGATTTTCACTCGACCAAGACCAGGACTCACTCCATTTATTAAACACTTGCTTTAATTCATTCACTTCTTATCTCAAAATTCATTAAACAAATCAACATTTCCACCAATCTAGACTATAGTTCTAGCTGTGAAAGAACTTGTAATTCACAAGCTATTTTTCCTTGCATATAATCTCCAATATACAAGCTTAATTAAAACACACTTCTCTTGATTAAAAACTTACCTTTTATTGCACTCTCGACAGAAATCAGTGTAGAATTCAGTAATTCTTTCTCGCTGGTTTGTGAGGTACAGTTTCTGATGTCTCTTAGAAGTAGGGTATACTTGGTAATTCGCTGGATTGGAGTGATCAGAAGATCCGTGAGTTGAAGTCTTTTACATCGGCTGTCCTGCTCACATATCTAATGGTTGAAGTACCCACAGAACAAAACAAAATAAATTGACATGGACTTGGATACTGAATAGTGGAATTGTACAGGAAAATATCTCAACATCTTTTCTAAGTAGATTCCTTCGAGCAAGATTGTACTTTTTAACGTTAATTTTCAAGTATTATCTGAATATCAATGGATCTATACTTCTCTTACAACTAGACGACTCAAATAGTTGAAATACCCCCCTTAGAGTGGAGATGGTACATGCATAGGCCTACATCGTATGCTAAAAATATTGTTCCAGTAACTAGGGTACATTACTGAAAATCACCAAGATATATTATGTTAGTATGTTTTCTCACCTTGCAAAATTCAGCAAAGTCATCTTGCTTCTTGAGGGATTCAAGATATTGCAGGGCTCCTGAATAGTTCATGCAGTAGCTTGAAAATGCAGGACACACTTGCATCTCAAACTGAGGAAATAAATCAAGAAAAGTCGCAGTTACTTCATAGGTGGGGTTAGAATGTCATGAAAGGTTCTCAATAATTATGAATGAGAACAATTTTTAAAAACCATTATTCTCAATTTAAAAAATCATGTTCTCAAATTGTTTTATTTACTAAGGAATTATTCTTAAATTGAAATTACACTAGACTCAATGTACATCGCTCATTATTGTTCCTCTTTTGTGCATCGATAATTTTATACACTCTGTTTAAATTTTGTCCGCAAAAAATCTAGAATACCGTCTATATGTTCGTGCTGTCATATAAAATGAGAGTAGTGTAAGAACTTTGTTTATATTATATTTGACTGTATTATATTATGTCTGTTTATATTTTGTTTGTTTTGAAACGGAAATAAAATCTGAATCTGAATCTGAATCTGAACTTAGACTGTGTTCTATCATTGCGATGTATTCATAAACAAAATATAAATCATAAATTCATGATTCTATCCACTTACAGTTGCTAATGCAGCTACGATAGCATCAGCTTGTCCGAATTCTCCATCTGAAAGTCGGCTTGAGAAGTTCTTGATTAGATCTCGACACAAATTCGCGCTGACCTAAACAGATATGAATGATAAGTAAGAAAGAAAACGTGAATTATTCAAAGGAACACATTCAGGCGCACAATTGGAATATTGACATCAAAATTAAAAAGCATAAACTCGGGTATAAAGAATTTAGTAAGAATACGTAATAATTTGGGACCAACTTACCGTACATAGTTCATCAACATTAGCGAAGAGTTTGACAATCTCTATGTGCATGAGATGATCTTCACATTGGAGCCAACGGAGTCTTTCTTGGAAAATCTGGGGAAACGAAATTCAGACATTAATTTTTATTTTGTTTTGTTATTGTCGTTGAGGGTATGTGTAGTATGAATTCAAAGCTGACATCGTGACAGCGATATTAGAAGAAAAAAAGCGTATCCGGACACCTACCCCCTGGACATCCACCCCAGGATAACCACCCCAAGTCAAATACCCCCTAGGACAACTACCCCCTAGGGCAACCACCTCTAGGAGGACTACCCCCAGGACAATTACCCCCAAACAACTACCCCAGACAACTACCCCATAGGACAACTACACCGGACAGCTACCCTGTAGGACAACTATCCCCCTAGGGCAACTACCCCCAGACAAGTACCCCCTATACAACTATCCTATAGGGGTAGTTGTCCGGGGTGGTTATTCTAGGGGGTAGTTGTCTGAGGGTAGTAGTCCCGGGGGAATCGTTCTAGAGGGTGGTTGCCCTAGGGGGTAGTTGTCCTAGAGGGCAGTAGACTGGGGTGGTTATCCGGGGATGGATGTCCAGGGGGTGTCCTAGAACCGAAAAAATTAACCCCTTTATGATATCATTTTTAAGCATACTCAGCCTTATCAATATTCTCTGCAGTTAAGTTCATAAATTAGATAAGTAACATATAATAGTCTCATAATACGAAAAGAAATTTACATTGTATACAATATATGTCTTACACAGACCATCAAAACTCGTCTCAACCATGCATTGTCATTGAGAAGAAAAAAATCGCACACGTTGATAATAAGCTTTCATTGATTGATATGTCAACATTTCGTGCACGACGTTTACAGCATCCCGAGTTTCATTGATTGTATTAATTGAGTAAATAAAGGATTGTATAGCCATCAATCAATATCTTCATGCTGAAACTAACCACCAACAGATTCCCGTAGGTCGCAGACATTACCAACCTAGTGATAATTGCAAGTGAAATAGGGTTTGAAACCTTTGTGATCCAAGACACGAGATCCTCATTATCGATTTTGTATACGAAGGAAATAAACGGTGTCACTGTCTTTGAATTATTCTTGATCCATAAAGGCTTAGTGTAATGCCTTTTAAAGTATAAAACTGCAGTTATTTAGTAAGTAATGACAGAATAGGTGATAGTATTGTCGAGATCAGTAGCGCTGCTTGTGTCCGAGTCATTATAGGTGGTCTTTCTATAGGTGGGTGAATTGTGATGTAACAAGCGGGGGAGTGTTTTGGAGGATGACGTACCATATTATTGTTCTATACTTGTTGCTGCATCTGTCCTTCTCTCTCCCTCTTTCTCTCTTTCCCTGGAACTGGAACTACACCACTAATAGATATTTTAACCAAAAACAATTAAAACTAAAGTAAACAATTCACCATAATCGGTGAAATACGAGGTCGCTGATATTGCTACTCACCTCTTTCAAGACTAGAATGTGATCAACCAGATATGCGCATTCGCTTCTGAACACTTCCCATACTTTCTCTCGTCTTTTATATTCCTCCGTGCTGATAGAAGATATATCGATAGGGCGACCAAGTACAGATTCGATAAAGTCCTTCCAGTGTTGATCCTGCAGTGGATGTAAAGAATCAGTCATTTTAACCATTGGTTGCTACAAATATCTTGAAATGAATTGAGGAAATGGAAACATTATTAAATATGATATATGAGATTTGCAAGGCGTTGAGTCCACTTGAAATCAAATCCTCAAGGGGCCCGACTTGACGGTGAAGAAGAAAAAAATCCTCAGTACTGCAAAAAGGAGCCCAAAACAGTCATTTGTAATGCTTCCTCTAACTAAGAATACCACATGGAATGGGAAAAATTAACGTGGAAGACTTCCATAGGCATAAAACATGAAGAACTTAATGGGAGATTTGATCTTTAAAAAAATATCCCACCTTCAATTTATATTACATGCATGATTATGAACAAAATCATTCCCCAATGACGCACGCTCGGGCATGGGTGTGACTAAAAGTTTATACCCATGACGTTAAGTTCATGTAAACTAAATATCATTCATAAATTACTAATGTCATGACGGAAATTTATCACAAGCTGAGTGGGAGATATCACGTACTCGCAACTTAAAATTATAACATGTTGTAATAGTCTAAACTTATGCAAGTGAACGTCACATTTCTATGTTAATTTTTTTTAAACATACGGATCAATTAAATAGAAATGTTATATGACATTATTCGTGATATTCCCATACAGAGTTCATGAGGTGAAGCAAAGCGGATGTATATCATGTTCCGACAGGCCAGGTGCGTGCTGAAAGCATACTTCAGATCCTCTTTCAAGGAATACACAAAATCATCAGATATGAGTATTTAAGACTGCAATAAGATTCTATCCTAATAACCGCAAGAAATCCAATACCTTTCACAACGGATGCTATAGGGATATTGATCTTGGTGTTATTCTGTGAAGAATATCATATCAGGAAATAGAAGCTTAAAGTGCATTTCGCAATCCTTATTGATCTTGGTGTTATTCTGTGAAGAATATGATGTCAGGAAATAGGAGCTGAAAGTGCATTTCGCAACCCTTATGTTTTTCTACCACATACTTTCACAAAAGTACACTTGATGTCTATTCGGAACAAGATGAAGAATATGAAGGAGGTCTTCGTCTTAACAAATCCAGATATCGACAAACGCTGGTTAGTGGTTGTGGTGGTTGTGGTGGGGGAGGGGGTATGGATGCGCGAATTTCTACCCTCGGAGTGCATAGGTATTCTGCTACCTATAATTTAAAGTTTTACTAATGAAGCTATTTCCCCAAATCTGGGGCACCCAACATTACTCAACCGTTTGTATACATTTTCAGTGCAATTTCATATTGAAATAGACTGAAATGTGGTCAATAATAGAATTTAACAAAATGGCGCCTTAATGACGTCACTCATCGGTAATCGCCAAACTCCTTCGTTTGGATCAATAATCATGTATTATGGCATATGTAATGAAAGTTTGATTGTCATTAACCATGCCATTCGTGTAGAGGTGTCGTGGTCGAGCGGATATGTCACCGGCCTGTGGATCAAAAGGTCCGCGGTCCGATTCCCGCCGCGGCACTAATATCCTTTGGAAAGACATTTTACCACACTCAACCTAGGTGTGTTAAATGAGTACCTGTAGGAGTATGCCTTGAAATGCACTGTGCGCTGATAACGGCTGCCGGAGATATAGCTAGGGTAATAATTTCCTAAGCTCATTGGAAGCGCATAGGGACGTTTTATATACAAGAACCTAATATTATTATTATTATCATTATATGAAGCGAACAAAATACATACAGAAAGAAAGAAAGGAAAACAGATATTCTGACGGAATCACAAGGTACTCTGCTACGCTACACGGCAGATCACCTAATAATAATAATAATTAAATAAACTGAAACACTTCTGAAGAAAAACAAAATTGACAAACCTTGAAGACAGCATATTCTAGTTCGTCCTGGTCGTGCCGTTTGAAGTTTGAAATAATAGCTCCCATTCCGCTCTTCTCTTGCTTTCCCTATCAAGGTAATAGTAAAAATAGATATTTTATGATATATTCGAGAAGGAAGAGAACACTGATAGCTTATATCAGGGCCCCGTTACATAAAACTTAGCATTGATGGTAACTTTGCCATCAATCGCAACTACCATGGTAACAGGGCTCAACATCCAATCAAACTCAAGGTTTTTGTGGTAGTTACCATTGATGGCGAAGTTACCATCGATGTAAGTTTTGTGCAACGGGTCCGAGATGTTATTTTTACAATTATCGACGATAGATATGTATCTGAATTTGAACAAGGCGTCATATCATACTTACAAACTTTTTCCTGAGCATGGCAGCTATTCTCTTCTTGCTGTCTGTTGATGAAGAGGAAAATACAGAAGAATTATTGAAATGTGTCACTATACTCATTTGAAAACGCAATGATAATATTACATTATATTTCATAACTTTACAGTGCACAACATTTGTTAATGAACACTGGATAAATGAAATTACATTAACGTAGAACCCTACCTTGTACTTCTTCGCTGGCAACATGGTTATCCAAACCTTGGACACTTGATTCGATGAAACCTATACGTGAGAAAGACGAAAAGCAAAAGAATATCATTTTAATCATTCGTATTTATGTAATTATGGCCTAATCCACTCGAGTTCATAATTCCTATTTTATACGATTTTGTACAATATACAAGTAAAGATATACGAACTAAAACGATCATTATCACACTTATCACACCCAATGACCATCCAATTTAGCCCCCATTACCCCCAAAAATATCTTCACCTTCTTTTAGAAAAATCGGAAATATCTTACAAACGCACAAATACGGAATTTGGACAATATATCAAAGCCGTTAAGCTGACAAACTATGATGCTCAAATGATGAAACCCAACGAAATAACTAGGAAATATCTTCTAAGATATCCAAATTAATATACTTTTCATCGAAAACAATGTAGGAATAATTCTAGTCAAATTATTTGCAATCAAAATGATTATCAGCACAGTCATGTGACCACAGATTTGAACAAATACATAATGACTAAGTAATACTTTTACAGCAGCAATAAAAATGTTTAAAAAACTTACCCTGAACATGTCTGGCTGCAACAGCTGAAACGAAATAGGATATCAGAAATACGATTTAATTTTCTGTAAAGCTTTATAATTCTGTGGCATCTAACGATTGAAAATTATTATTGTTGCTGATTTTGATTGAGTAATTAGCATACAGTCATCAGGTAAGCTTCTCTGTTCAAAATAATATTATGTTCCCTTTCACTCTCCCTATCCAACTTCTCTCTCTCTCTCTCTCTCTCTCTCTCTCTCGAGAACTCGAACTCCTCCTTCTTTCTGTCTTCCTTTCCCACTCCCTCCCCAGCTCCCTCTTCCACTTCCTCCCAACAACTCTCTCCCACTCCTTCCCAACTCCATCTACTCCCTCTCCCACTCCATCCATTACTCCCTCCCCTCTCCCACTCCCTCCCCCACTATCTTAGAGACATTTGTATTAAGCACTATATAAAAATAAAATATTATTATTATTATTATCTCTCTCTCAGATTCCATCCCTCTCTCCCAACCACCTTTCCCTCTCCCACTCCCTCCCCACTCCCACTTCCTCTGTTACTCCCTCCCCTCCCCCACTATCTTTCTATCAAATTCCCTCTCTCTCTCCCAACCACGTTTCTCTCTCACACTCCCACCCCACTCCCTCTCCTACTCCCTCTCCCACTTCCTCCACAAAACTCTCCCCCAATCGCTCTCCTACTCCTTCTATCTCTCTGTCACATTTCCTTCCTCCCTCCTTCTCTCCCAAGCACCTTTACCTCACCCTCTCCATCATTCCACTCCCTCCTTTTGCCTTTGCCCGGATAATTGCAAACTGCCGAAACAGATTTGAGGTAAGCACAGATCAATACAAGCCATTATCATTGTTGCAAATCAGTGAAGAACACATGAATAATCAGAATCAGTTGGATACCACTACATGGACCTTGTGCTCAATGCTAACCTACAATGGATCTAATTTCTCCAGCATTTTTCAATCAAAATTTAAATGCCAATCAGAGTCGATTTCATCCAAAGGTGTTTAAGCCCTTTCCGCCAATACAATCAGTATACACTTTACGTGACGGTGACGAGGTCATAACAACATTTGAATTGCCTGATGTTTAGCTTCTTTACTCAAAAGATCAATAACCAACACTTCAAAGACATTTGCGCATTGACATGATTGTAGAATAAGAACAATAATTACGTCACTGGTTGATTATTTTGGAGGGGGCACAACCGGCACATACCCTTTCCGTGAAGCCCAGTTAGCATACCTTAAGTACACAACTCCAACAATGTGCCCCTTTTCAAAATTCTCATCCAAAAAGCACCTCGAAATCTATCTGGGGAGAGGGCTAGTCTTAACATTTTCGGAATCGTGCCCACCCCCTTTTTTATTGTTAAAATCATTGATCAGCCTGTGACTTACATTGTAAAGTGAAACTGGCTTCACTCATGATACTGGCCCGATGTTCATTAGATTGTTTCCGTGATGCTGTGGGTAGGAGAGAGTCCATCTGAGGTGTTGATAAACCAGGGATGGAGGTGTTTCGTGCAGGTTGCGGCGGTGAATCAGGTTTGCAACTGCAAGGGGGACAATAATGTTGAATTAGAAAACTTGTCAAAATTATGTTTCCATTTGAATGGAAGAGGGAAGTGTTTCTAATGTACACTGGTATGTTTAAAACGCGAAATAAAATATACCGTTGCTTATTAATTTGCTGTAATGACATCTCGAGGGTTGTTAATAGAAAATGGTGGGGACGAAATACGTTTATACAAGTTCAGTCCGTCTAAAAGGTATAGGTTTGAAGAAAGAACAATAAATTATTAAATTAATCTGCAAAAATGAATATCAATTTTAATTCACTTCATCTCGAATTCTAACATAGTACGTTAATAAATAACACACCAAAAGAGAATAAAATTATAATCATTCAGATGTCAATGTTAAAAATTCCCTCGTCTCTGTCAAGAAATTAAATATTTTTCAATGTATAAAAACGACTCCGTATATTCTTCACGATATTATACATTTTTCAACATTTCACGCTTACTTGTTCGACTCTTGTTCTTCAGACCCCATTTCTGAAACAGCTTGTGCTACTTGTGTTATTACAGCATCCCTTCTCCGTCTCATGTGGTACCTCGGCGGAGGGATATTCTCTTCGTCTTCTCCTTGGTCCTGGGGCTCAACCTATACAAATTTCAAGATAAAATTCCTCAATCTGAGTCACAACATAACTATTTGCAAAATCATATTTGGAAAATAGTTTGTTTTTAGTTATGATATACCAAGTATGATATACGAAGTATAATATTGGTACTGTCATAAACATGCGCCAGAATTTAGATGAAGAGAGATGTATCTTGTAGGTGTTATTAGTATGGGTGAAGATCTCACACGTCCTGTCCCCTAATAACTATTTATCCCACGATTTCAGTATCATTAGTAATTGTTCGATAGTAACATACTCCTATACTTGTAAAGATACTAAACGAATGAATATAACTGCATGCGGTTGAATACGTTTTGTTTATTTAACTAAGGTAAATGAATAACTTACAATAGCAAAACCAACGGATTACTTTACAAAATTGCCTATACATACATTATTGAAATATGAACGAAAACGATGAAACCATACGTAAGACTAACCTTTCGATGTTTGGGGTATGAAGATTTAACATTTTGTGACAATTCAGGCGATGGAATCCGGAGTGAACTTCCGCTACTCGTTACAGACCCAGACGAATCTTGATATAGAAGACAAACAAAAATGAGACTAGTATTTTATTATGATGCCTCTTTTTAATCTCATCATTAATAAGTTGCATGATGATAACAACTATCACATCGTATAATCAGGGGCATTATCAAAATGGGCTAACATATTCTTTCGCTATCTTTGGCTGTTTCAAAAGTCAAGTTTGTATACTGAAGATAAAGCTTTTGCGTCGACGAATTATATCTTATGGCTAGTCAGGTTAAGAGTTTAATTTAATTAAAAACAAATGTGAACAGATTTCTAAAAGATTATCTACGTCTAACGTTATAATTTATTGTCAGTATAATAAATATGATTCTTGTTCCGACAAACTTAGATAAATAACCAACAAATTGCGTCATCGCCTATACATAATAACTCCATGGACTAGGCTACAGACCTGGCATTGGGATGAAGAAATGGGGGCTTGAAAAAATGATTACCTTTTCATAGCTTCTTTCTTTTCCCCCTTTGAATTTTACCTTTGCTCACGATTACAAAGTGTGGGTAAGATACTCAAAATACTTGAGACACTCATTATTTACTGCTTTCTGTCATGTTAGTATGGGATCAAATTCTTGTGAAATTAAAATTGAATTATTTGTTATGTACGCCATTTAGATTTTCAGAAACACAATGTTCTGAGTAGGCTACATCATAGTATGGAGTTATTTTAAAACGACAGTCCTTTAAAAAATCATGCATACTGACTGATGATGTCATATGACCAGTCTAAATATCGAAAGTTGTAGTTATATGTTTTTCCCCATTATCTCAGCTATTTTCATTTTGTAACCCTAACCACTCCCTGGCCATGTCTCCTTCTTTCCTCATAACTGAATACTGTCGAGCTAAACAAAAATATTTTCGCGCCCACTTCATTCCTCCCCCGCTATTTCCAATTACCATATCAAATTGGCAACACTAGCTATGATCTAATCTGACCCTTCCTACTTGTGAACTGTCCGTGTAATCGGTCAGAAGTCCGCTGGACAACCCTTGAATAATTTTACATTTAAAATATTTCGCGCTATACAGCCATAATATCAGGGCATCGAATATGGGAAGGAAGTCTGCGAAGGAAGCCTGGGAAGAAATCATACCAGTTCTCCAGTGATTTCGGACACCTCCAGCGCAGTGCAATCCAGTTAGCACACTTAATTGCCCCTTCAGACGTATCGGTGCGTTTATTTTGAAGTATTTGGAGAGGGGTTACTGGATAATGAAAAAAGTCTTTCAAATCTTTGTTGGGCAGGGGGCTTCATCGAGTTGCTTTATAGTCTGACGAAAATTGAATGGTACATGTACTTCAGCAGGGCCCCTAGTGGGGCTGACCTACATATCTGCTCAAGCCCTCAGTAATTTATTATACAAGTTTTATCGTTCATCATTCATTCATCATGAAAATAAAATCAGCGATTTACATACATAACATCATATGAATATGATTGTATTATCGTGTATAAGCTACTTATTGACATGAATTGTGAGATTTTAGTTTGTATTGAAGAGAAAAACAAACAACAACACGAATACGAAGTGTGTTCTCTTGACCACAAAGGTAAATGTTTTCAGCTTTTGATCATATTTTCACAGAATTTGAGATAATGGGGATATTATGTATTCCATGACTCATACTTTTCATGACGACATTTAGACTAATATCATACCATCATGACTTCCTGCATTGACCCCAGATAATGAGTCTGAATCATCGGGATGATAGCTGACAACGAACGTAGGATGTATGATGCCAGCAGCGTCTTTTACCATCGGTCTCTTCTGCAAACGTGAATGAACAACAACGGAATAAATCTCCGAGTAAGGATAACCTTAATCTGAAAATTGGTACATAATATCAATGCCCTTAATCTGAAAATTGACTTAGACATGTGAATGACTTTAATCTGAAAACCGTCACACACGAAGACTCGACCATTAAGGAAGATCTGGATAATTATCCGAAACATAACAGCCATGAGTGTCGTCTCGATTCTATTATGTTTATCCATACAATAGTTCAGCGTACTAGTATGTATGGGGGAAATTCGTGTAGTTGCAAGGTTGGGGAAACTTAGATTTGGAGCTTACAACGATTCACTCTATACGCACTAAATGGAGAGGAGTGTCATTTTAAAGTAAAACCATAATGAGTATAAACACTGCTTTCCATGATGTAATTATTATATAATTTATAGGCAAATAATCAAAACATTATTACTTGTCATGCTTATGAAAAGAGAGTGAGAGAGAGAGAGAGAGAGAGAGAGAGAGAAAGAGAGATTCATGATACATAAAACTGATCATGATATCTGTAAACACCTTAATATTTAACTGCTATTTTTTGATGCAATGTACACGGGTAAATTTTCATTACTACATGCATATGCCTATTTAACACATAAAAAGTGAGTTTGGAATTCAAAGTAAAGTTTGCAAAAATATATATTGCCCCTCCTTTCCCCGTTCTTAATATCGGGGACACACTATAATGTTCATTCTTGATTCATCTCTGTGCATTAATCCTAACTTATTTTGGGCAAGTCTACACATATTACTACATGTTCCAGGGAAATGAAATGGACTTCGAATTGATCTGATGAGTCCTTGCCAACATTTAAGAGTAATCGTTAGCTCTAAAATCAGAATCAATGAAATATCAGGATGTTTTTATATCAATAAAATATGAATTATGGTGGGTGTTTCTTACCGACACGTCTGGTGAGGGGAACGGAGAAGGGAAGGGCGAGGTCCGTGATCCTTGTGACGGTGTTCGTGAATCAGCGGTATTAATGTTCGGCATTGATGCCATGATAGGATCCGGGTAGTCATGTAGTCTTTTGATATCAACAAGTGGTCTTCCAGTGGGCAGGACACTGATGCTTCCATGCCGCGATGGAGGTAAGGCACGTTCATGCCCGAAGCCTCTGAACTGCTCAGAGCTTTGAGTTTTGGAAAGCTTCTTGCGGAACGCCCGCGGTAAAATCGAAGACGATTTCTCTGCTTTCGGTGCCCTCTCGGTGTAACACTTTTCGCACATCTCTGTTAATTCCGTCTGGCTGCCGACATTCCTGCTGGTGTTGCGACCACATTGCGTTGTCACATCCTGTTGCCATGGATACCGGAGATTGTGTGAATCTCCAACAATATCTAACTGCTCGTAGACCGACTCTTCATCCGATTCGACGGCTATATTATGTTCAGGGTTACCACGCAATACAATGATGGCCTCGTCGTTCTTTTCGTTGAGCATTCTTCTCATATCATTGGATCTTTCCGATGATGACAGCTGATGACGATGTAGATCTGGAGAAGACATGTAGCACTTTGGCGCACATACCCCGATCATGTCGACATCATGAGCACCACCATTGGACTGAATTCTTCCATTGCTTTTAGGTCCTTCTGGCATCATCGTCTTTGACTTCGTACTTTCTGATCTTTCTGTAAAGCAAACAAAAAGTATATCAAGTAGATTATATACCCAAAACTGGAATGCTATTATTCTAAGATGTTCGATGTCTTATTTTGTCTGGTATCTCCCTTTGGCATGAAGCCATGCCCTTTATCCTGAATCTCTTATCTTTGGGTGCACTTCACTACCTTCATGTAGGCATCAACGCACGCAGGTGAATTCACACTTAGATAGTACGGTTACAAAATCATAACATCTAATAACACAGGAGTATACTATTACAATTGAAATATTCAATGGTGGTTATACCGCACAATGTCTTTCAAACTGACAATACAACGTGACCCCCCGAATCTTTTTGTGGTGGGTGATCTTCTTTTCAAGATAAAACTACTGTATTACCCCTTCCGGCAGTATTTCTTCTTTTCGGAGGCATTTATAGAATCATCTCTCTCTCTCATTCTCTCTCTTTCTTTCTCTTTCTTTCTTCCTCTCTTTTCGATTTTCCATTTTTTTTTTAAATTGAAAATAACTATAATTGGAGATCATCTCTTACTAAGTTTGCAAATTTCGAGCTAAAGTTTGTTAACTTTCTCGGAATAAATGTAAGTATTTTCCAAAAATAAATATTGGCTTTCCACACTTTGAAGAAAAAAAAAACAGAACAAATTTGTTTGTATCAACAATTTAGAACAGAACAATATCCTATATGTAAACATGGACCTTCTACGAATGGTGTAACACACTTGTCATAACGCAATAACCTTTGATATAAAAAGCAATGCTTTTGCCTGTATAATGTGATGTAGAAAAACATGATTGTGTGGTGCGTAAAAGGTGATGGCGGAAGTGGTGCAGACCAGAAATTTAATTTAAACAAAAAACAAATATGTAAAAACAACATTGTTCATGTGTATTATATGTGATTTTCAGAAAATTGCCTTAAAATTAGTTGTTGCAAACAATCCACTCACCATACAATTAAACTTCCCTGATTTTCTTTTATCCAAACTTCCTCCTAATACATGCATGCACACAAACAAGATATCAAAACTTTAATTAATATGTAGATGTTTGTCTGTTAACACGACATAATTATCATAATTTCTACACCAGGAAGGAAAATAAACGAATGCATTTTTCGTGTCGCAAGTCGATTGTGATATGCTACATGTAGTTGATATTCACTCCGTATATTTTCCTCCGCGGTGAATTGTCTAGGGACGGAAATTTAACACTCTGGTACATTTTTAGATCCGGCATAAGTGGTGCGACATTTCAAACAAGTGCTTCTCACCTACCATCGAGTTCTTTCAGTCACTCCGATACGAAACCATATTTTGAATTCTTAATTTTCAGTCTCTATTTTGTATCATTATATCACCATAGGTTAAAGAAGTTATTTCAAATCATGCTACCGTATTTTCTTCATAGTTTTGCCATTTATCTATAGATCGTGTGATTACTAAAGTGGTGATATCTCACAACATGAGGGCAAGTTATTTCTAGAAAATAACATACATAAATAGAAAGATCATAATACATAATAAAATAATTGTTTTGAATCTTCAATTAAATAAAAACTGTTGGATTTAAAGCATAATTCTTCTCTTCTGCATTATATATCTATGTACAATGTATATATATTTATATATATATATATATATATATATATATATACATAAGATAATTATATAAGACTCTACATTTGATATTATGTAGAGTCTTTTGGTCAATTAATATGTCAAGATGCGACGCAAACACACACACACGTACACAATATAAACATGTATATATAGAACAAATTATTCAATTTGGATAATCCTCAGTCAAAGTAATATAATTATTATCTATATATATATATATATATATAATATATACGTGGGTGTGTGTGAGGGTGTGTGTGTGTGTGTGTTTTGCGTGTATATATATATATATATATATATATATATATATATATATATATATATATTATGACTAATAAAAAGAAGAGACGGACAGACACACACATACACACACGCACGACGAATGGGCGTATCCAAGGGCACTATTTCGGTCTCTGTTCTTGAATGTTCAAATATTGTACGTAAATAAATTTAAGTAAACATGGTCACATTCCCTGCTGCATAGCAACTATTTCAGTAACACTATATTTGACAAAGATAATAAACACATATTGTGACAATTGCCACATACAAGACAGCACAAGGTCAAAATAACTCGAGAGGAAAAAAAATACTGAAGCTTTTTCCGGTTCGTGAATAAACGGCTATTACAAAAAAGAATAGTCGTATTGTTTGTTTAACACCTTTTTAGAATTCTGCTCAGCTCAAGAAAGAAAAAGAGGTGCCAGTCTAAAACTGTACTCTGGTGTTGAATTTCCTTCTCCGAACGACTCACCACAGAGAAAATAGCAAGAGTGTATGGATTGATTTCGTCGCCATTTTACATTCATGGGATAACATCATTGCCCTGCATTCTAATAATAACTCAGTCTTTGAGAGCATGTTTAATTCATATTGTAAAAAGAGAACATAAAGGCCTACACAGTATTTCACACAACACTACATACATGTATACGATCATCTTATTTCTTGTCTGTTGCACCCCGGGGTGCATTGACTATGTTTGTTCTTTCTCTCTCTCTCTCTCTCTCTCTATTTATATATTATCTCTCTCTCACTCACTCACCCTCTTTATCTCTGATTTCTGGAAGATATTAATATTGCCACATTCAGGCAACTATCAGATAGGTGAGCGAGCTTGTAAGACAGTTGAAAGCCAATTTACGTTTGAATGCCACTCTCTACCACCTGTCGTATTACGAAGTCTTGTGAATATCTATACATTGTGATATAAATCTATGCGAAAAGGGAACATTCTTCCAGCGAAGAATATACTTTTTTTCTTCATTTCCATGTACCATTATGATTTTAAAAAAATCTAATGTCAGATTTTATTTTACACGCCCACATTAATGACAAAGAGAATATAACTTTTATGGATAATTATTACCCGATTCCTTGACAAAATCAATTAAAACGATTCTCAAAAAGGAGCTTCATAATTTATCGGCACCTGAAATTTTCGAAAGGCCCAGTCTTTCAAATCAACTTCGAAAATGCTAATCATATAACATAAGTATACACTGTCTTAAAAATCATACGTTTCAAGCTTCAATCTGCCTTGTTTTCTTTCTTGATCAATTTCACATTAGCTTGGTTGATGGTTACAAGCAAGTAAACAAGCACAATAACCTTCTGTTCCAATTGTTTCTGATCCCCAATTCGATCTTACGCTCTCACACACACACACACTGAATATTGAGTGTGCAGGGGCAGTACATGCCATGCGTGGGACGAGGTGAAGAATGATGAAGGTATAAGTAATGCCCTTTCTTTAAATTCGAGCCCAAAATTGTTTTTATTTTCTTTAACTTTGTGCGATATTATTATAAAAGAAACAAAATGAAACTCTCCCATAACTATTCCATGAGTCAAGAGTGAAGCATCAACGTATGGCGGAGGTAATATTTCTTACTGAAACAAAATGGCGCCTTCGTGATAACTGCTATATCGAGGCATATCCAGAACAGATAGTGTTTCATTTAGACATCCCACGTGTCATGGACCCCACGACTGGGGGGGGGGGGAGGGGAGGGGCTGTGGAAAATACATTCTCACGGAATAAAACGAAACCTAAACTAAATGTTCAATATTTATGCCAGACTAATTCCGAAATAATATTGACTTTCTATACCGAATCGGTAATAAATCAATAGCTCACTAATGAGCAAATATAGACAAGGACATAATATTAAGTAGTCCCGACTCATGTGCATAATAAACGGTCTCCGTGAGTAAATAAGAATCATTATTTGATTTCTATGTGAGTTCGCTTGTTTGCGTAATATATATTTGCTGGCTGAAAAAGCCCATTAAGTGCGTGGGAATATCATTAGTCCATTTTCTCGCAAAATGCAATGCAAGTCCACACTACCCATTACCAGTTCAAAATCATTATTATGAGAGCATATAGAAAACCACCAGCGTTTAAAGGATTCAGTAATTCCAAATAAGATCAAAAGCAGCCAGCTAGGTTTCTTCCATCCATGCATTTACCTTACAATAATTCATTACACTGATCACACAACGAGTACACGCACGAGTAGCAGAGAGTCAACACCTAAAGTTTACATATACTTCGCGGTCAACCTAACATTAAGAAAAATACAAATATTGTAGACATATCCTTGAAAAACGGTTGGTTTTTGTTTCAATGGATTTCATATTTTTCACACTTCCTCTTTTATCGTCGTGATAATGCATGTGTTATAAATGAATAGTGTAGGCTTATGGCCCTATAACTTCGTATAACTCATGATAGGTTTTTGTGCACTACGGAAAATGAATGATTTTTGTTTAAGATTGCGGATGAAAATGAGGGCGTGGAAATATGGATCAAGTAAAAGAAATTGGATTAGTAGGATGCGAAAGCTAATGTGGTTAGATTAGCAAGTGTGCGCTTGTAAAAATGACGCCTGGCTGGAATGCTCCCCAGGGAGTGGAGGATGTGCATACATTGTGTGCGGGTAAGCCTGAATCCAATGACCGGGGTAATAATATACTTATCTGTAAAGCGCTTTGAGAGGGCCTCCGGTCCTGAAAAGCGCTATATAAGAACGAGCTATTATTATTATTAGTAGTAGTAGTAGTAGTACGTGTAAAGGTTGTTCACGTTCAAGTTCAAGTTTTTATTTTCCACATTCCATTAAAAACATAATTAATGATGGACAATAGCAAATGTATATATTAACAAAACATTACAGTAGAAAGAAAATGAAGAGGGAAAACGCATAGGCCATTGGCCTTACGAGGCAGAACCCTAAAATGAACTTAATATGCAAGTATCTTCTTTGGTGGTGATAATTATACACCATCATACCGACTATGCTCCGATGCTACTAGTATATATATATATATACCATACACACAATACTATTTTTGACTATTTGCCCATAGTAAAGAAC